GCACTCATGGTACTTGCTGTAGTGGCAAATAACGTGGATGACGGGGAGACAGATCCTGATCTACGAGAGCGACCAGTGACGCCACCGGAAGATTTCTGGGGCATCCACTTTGACAAATGGTGCGAGGCCTTTGGCCGCTATGCCATGCTACTAGCCAGCGAAGGAGACGAAGAGCAATGCTTCGCCACGCTCGACATCGCCACCCAAGCCAACATCTTCCACCGCTCCCAAAAGTACCACCAGCAACTCCAACTCTGTCGTCTCGCCTGCGCCCTCTCCGCCGACAACTCGCCCCAAGCCTCCATCGCCACACGCTGGCTCCTAAAACAACACCCCTTTGGTACCGACCTCTTCCGCCTCTACAGCGCCGCCAACCGCCTCTGCTCCTTCCCCGAAGGCTTCTCCACGGGTCCCGCCTACAAAGTGCTAATGCGCTATGTCAAAACCGTCGACTACGCCCTGCTCACCCCCGCTCAACGCATCGCCTACAACTTCCGCACCACAAAAGCCAGCAAAGGCGGCTTCAGCAACAACTTCAACGCCGAAGACGTGCCCAAAGCAAACGGCCACGACCCCGCTCTCTTCGCACTCTACGGCCACGTCCTCATGTGCGGCGGCAGCTATGTAGCAGCGCTAAACTACTACTTCCGCGCCTACGCCATGACGCCCGAGGACCCCGTGCTTAACCTCTGTATTGCAGTCGCCTACGTCCAGCATGCTATGAAGCGGCTGTCGGAAAATCGTCAGTATCAGATTCAACAGGGTCTCTGCTTTTTGTATAGATATTACGATTTACGCACCAAGAGTGAGCATGCGGTGCACAGGCAGGAGGCCGAGTTTAATGTCGGGAGGATGTGGCATGCGCTTAATCTTAATGCGCTGGCTCTGCCGGCGTATGAGAGGTGTGTGGGGTTGAGTGAGGTGGTTAGACGGGAGGCGGAAGATGCAGGTGCAGCGGGGGAGGAGAGGGCATGGGGTTGTGAGGATTATGGTGCTGAGGCTGCGTTTGCTATGCAGAGTATTTATTCGCTGAGTGGGAATCCCGAGGCGGCGTTGGATGTTACGATGAGGGCGCTTGTTATTGAGTAGGACGGGACGTCTCTAGAGGGGGATTTTGAGAAAAGAACAATCTTAGGGGAGATGCGTGGACATTTACTAGCAAAGAAGATTTGTGTTATTCCCATTTTTTTTTCTCAAGAAAACAAATATCAACAGATGAATTCAATAAACAGGGACAACAACAACAACTTTTACCACATTGCCACTAACTACTCACAACGTTCAAAGTTTATATTCTAAACAACCCTCTCTTTCTTTCCCCTTGTCATCTCACACCCACACCCACAACCTCTAACCTATCCCACAATCGCCAAATCCTCTCTATCCCAAACTACCCCCCGATCCACACTACCCGATGGTGCCTAAACGTTACCTAACCGATTGTCCCCCTTGACGTCTAGTTACGTAGTGCAACCATGTAACCGTTCCGTTACGTTCCGTTACGTTACACCAAGATCCGAGTCTCTCTCGCTCGTCACACGTTCATCGTTACAGTTTGTGGATTGTGGTACAAATATCGGGGCGTTTTTTGGGGGGCGCTTTGCACAGGGCTGGATGGTGGAGCGAGTGTGTGTGGTGTGGATGTGGGTGTAATAGGGGGTAGTGCCACAGCAGAGGGGTAGTGTAGATCGGGTAGTTTTTGGTTTGTGAGATGGAAGGGGGATGGGGTGGGGATCGTGGGGATTTAGGGCGTAGGGGGTGGGTGGGACGGTGGCTGGGGGTTTAGCGAGGTGTAGGAGTGGGAATGGGAGGGTTGGCGAGCATCTGGGTGTTAGAAGATACTTGATATACTAGTGTTAAAAAGCTACTGTAGTCGCTAGACACGCCTTGGGTGCTTATATACACTGTCTAGTATTTTATAATAGCTAGTTGCGAGGGTAGAAGGTGTTATGGGTCTAGAGATGGAAATGGGTGGGCTTTTAGTATTGACGGATTGTGAGGGGTTGGGGCTGGTGGTCTTTGGATTACTAGGGGATTGTAATGATGATTCTAATAATAGTAGAAAGGGATACCTCTTCGCTAACGTAGAAAAGGCTTGGAAAGTGAACCGCTTGATTATACATGCGAAAAAATTGGATTTTTGTAAATCTCTAGCTCTTTTCTATGGTTAACCTTAAGAGGTCGGTCGGGGCTATTTACTATGTCTTTATATACTAGAACATAAGACAAACATACTCGCGCCCTTGATTCGTAGCATCCACTTATAGTAGAAAGAGCTTCTAAACTGGGCGCATCTGAATAATCTAACGGTAAGCAACCCCGACAACAATAATAGTTTGTATCTGAAGTTTGTTCTTACGCCGCACCTTGACGACTTGACGCTACGACGACTATAGCCTTTGTTGGATTATTAGCTATGCGACAAGTCAACTTGACTAGGCTATTATTCCCAAAGAAACCATTTGGAGACCTCGGGAGCGAGCGTGTTGAGGGCGTTGTGTGTACTGCGCTGGCAGGGCTTCTTGGGCTTCATGGTCTTTTACATAAGCCATGACCCGCGCAAGGCCTACAAGGCACACGAAGGACCTAGGAAAAAGGCTTAATATGGATGTGAGTGCCACGCGCATAGAGTGTACGCCAACAATCATGGCCGTGACATCATTTGGTCGAGAAGAAATTGGTGAATATTCTAAAGGTATTGACTATACCTTCACAGAGGATAGTTAACCGGTAATGAGGCCCCCGAAACTGCCGCACCTAAAAGACTACAAACGAGGACAACTACGCATGATTCTGTTAGCTCGTGGTAGCTAGAGGTGAAATGCGGTTCTCAATTGCTTGAATACCACGTTTACATCCAGAGAGGCTTCTCTATAACCTGAGTTCAAGTCCCTTGATCCCGGCCATGATACACGCATCATGAGTCTGAAGAGCCTCAGGTTTCTACCGAACCGGAATAGCTTGCAATGGTTACATGAAGTACTCTAGCACCGTCTTCTAGTCTAATCGTACTGCTTTCTGCACCGCGGGGGAAGTTTGCACCGTTCCGATCCTTTCCGACCAAACTTGGCTACTCTAGATAGACTTCCACTTGGTTCGAGACAATGTATGTCACCAGAGGAAGGTAACGCTTCTTCGTAGATTATGTGGAATTTATACTGGAATCTATCGGTTTAGGTTGCGCTACTATGCGACTTTAGTAGCACAAGTTAACTATAGAATAGGCAGAAGACACTAGAGGGTCTAGATACCTTGCGCTCACCCTATACGTAAACGCTCCTTAGTATAACTGAATGTATTGATTACGACCGATAGATTCTACATGGCACAATCAATCCTGCAGGTATATTCAGTACAAACATAGTTATGTTGATGCCCTCTACGTAGACAGTGCTAGACCGTACCTAGGTTTGCGCAAGGCGTTATTACGACTAAGCAAAGCTGCAGGGCGTCAGTCTACTCAGTTGCGCACATCAAAAGTTTGAGACCTCCCTAGGTAGCTAGAGATAAAACACCGGAAGATTATACTAAGACTATTAATAGGAGGGAAAATGTACGGAGGAAATCGAGAGATATCGAACGCTACATTACGCAAGTGAACCTAGGTGCAGTCCTGTTTGCGCAACAATCAGTCTAGCAAAGCCCACCAACCTACCTATTTTCATCTCTACCTCACCACCTTCCACACACCGTCAGCCACCGTCCCAATTACCCCTCCCCACGATCCCTACCCCCCTCTCACAACTCCAAAACCCCGATCTACACTACCCCCTATCACACCCACACTTACGCCCTGAAAAGCGCCCCGATATTTGTACCACAAGCCACTAAACCGTTAACGATGACACGTGTGACGAGCGAGCGAGAGACTCGGATCTTAGTGTAACGGTTGCACAGCGTAGACGAGAGGGGGGAGCGAGAGGGAGGACAATCGGAGGGTAACGTAACGGCCAGGTACTAGAGGGCCGGGAATGTGTGAGGTAATTGGGGTGTGGGGTTGGGAGGGTTGGGAGGTGATGATGACGGTGGTGGTGGAAGAGGAAGAGGAAGGGTAGGTTTGGGTGGGGAGGGTCATGGTGTAGATGCTTGATATGTTAATTTTAGGCATGCTTGTAGTGGATCAAGGTGGCTGTATCTTGCGAGTGAGACCTGTGGCTAAGTATTGTCTGCCGCATACAATAACCAATACACTGGTATATCAACGATTTCATGCTACCCGGGTGCTAGCAATAAGGTGTATGTAGAAACTCCATAAAAGCAATGTTGATGTAAAAGAACGTGGGAGCTGTGTTTATTATGCTACGACAGTATGTAGGTTAGTGATATGTCTCTGGCAGACCTCATTTCCCGTGCAAATCATCTTCAAGGAGGTGTTCAAGCATGCAGGTCTGAATTCATGTCTACATCGGATACATAGTTATCTAGGCCTTCACTTGGGAGGCTTTCTAGGCAAATTGACCACCAAAGAGGGTGGTCTGAGCCCTCTCAGTCCTGGACTGCTTCTTGGGCTCCTCCTTCTTGTTCTCCTTGGGTGCAGGATTGATCTTGGGGTAGCCAGGCAGAACAGCAGCAGCAGCAGCCCGATCTATATCACGTCAGTGAGAGCTTAGTAGAGTAGAGTGAGGGCACATATCTGGAAACACCAGAGTGCTCGTGCAAACATCCTCAGACTTGCGTGCTTGGAAGACCTCTCCGATGATCTCCCAAAGTTTGGGGTTGAATCAGCGAAGGTTCGCCAGCTCCACGCCAGTTGGCCCAAAATGCCGCAAGAAGCACTCGCTCTTCTTGGAGCACCGGCCATGCAGCATATAATTGGAACAAAAGAGCGGATGTAGGCAGTGCGCCTCCTAGTACTTAGTGTCTTGGTCGGCAAGCATAAACTTGTTGATCTTGCTGTGCGAGGGCTCACCATGGGACGTGAATTATGTCCCGTTAGGATACCTAGGAGCCCTCACCGAGTAGTCGTACCTAGGATGCCTAGGCTCCGGACCACGACAAGCTTGTCTAGCGGGAGTGTAGTAGCGCTTGTTGAGGGGCGAGCCGGTAGTCTTGGATGCAGTCGTGGGAGTAGGCGTCTGACGAGGCCACAACATTTCACCAGGCTGCCTAGGTGGAGGAAGAGACTGGCTAGGCGGCGCGAGAGACTGACTTGGCGGAGGTGCAGACTGTCTAGGCGCAGGTGCTGGGGAATCCACTTGGATGAGCCCCTCGTGCACGAGGTGATGCGCTAGGTCGGACCCAAATGCAGCTTCTAGGCTTGCCATCTCGAGGAAGGACCAAGTGTGGAACTATGGATGTGTTAGAAAATACAAATCTGAGTTTGGGAATGGGTACGTATGGAGTAAGCACTAAGGTGCGCACTCATCAAGAACAGAGTGTTCTTGGACACCTTTGGCACTGGTGTGCCTTCACTCTCGGCCACCGCAGCTTTGTAGCCGGCTTTGTTCAGGATAGGCTGAATCCATACTAGATCTTCTTGAACGGAAGAGTCTGCCATCCTTAGATGGTGAGGGTTGTTTGTGTAAATTGATTTGTGAAAAGTGTGTAGTCAACTTAATGTATGTAATCAACGTGGGTGTGACGGAGAGAAGCTTCGAAGGTGAGGACCGAGAAGAAGAGCTTGCAGGCAGCAGACGCGCTGGCGTAATCCGGTTCACGTGCTATCTTCCTCACTCACCTCTATTGAGCTGACTAATATGATACCCTATTGGGCGTTCATTAGTGCAAGTTTGTTGTAATCGCCGTAGCCAGTGCTATCAGTGCTTCGGCCAGAAGTGATGCCAAATCACTCGCATTCAGCATTGACAATCTGCGTCCGTACATTGAGTCGCTTTATGAGCCCGCCAACATTGCCACGACCTGGGCCGAGCTCTCAGGTATCATTCATTGCCATCTTCCTAGTCTCAGCTACAACCTCAGAAGCTACAGAATCGACAGTCAAACAATTGCTGACATAGCCTTTTCACCCCAGCCTACACTGCTTGGGCATTCTCGATTTGGACGCGATTTCCACATACACACCCACCATCCAAAAACACCGCCGCGGTCGTGAAAATTACGAAGATACCCTCGAATCGACAGACGGACGTAAGCAAAGAATCGAGACTTCGTCTGAGACCATGGCGATGCACCGCACCCAGGCAACTGCATGAACACGGATACTACGAACGCGTTTACAGGGAGATGGTAGAAACAGATTTGAAATTGCTACGTACATGAATCACATAATTCTTACAGCAGCTTTTACTTACCCCAGCGAACCGCACTTGAGTCTTCCCTAAAGATATCCGACAAGATCTCCAAGTCGCGTATCTCAGGGATCACCACCGAGCTTGATCAAGCATTGTCTAAAGTGGAAAACCTAGAGATGAACCTAGGTGGTTTCGAGGTCTTCCTAGACGAAACAAACGACGAGCTAAAGGCACTCCAAGAACGCCATCAAGACGAGTTGGACCTCCTAGCCACCGACAGCCAATCCAAGACGCACCACCTCCAACAAGTCCATTCACGCGAGATACATCTTCTCCAGTCGGAACATCAGCGCAATTCCAACGACCTAGCCGACGACTACAAGATGTTCATGCTAGACTCCGATAGCCGGTTCTCGAGCGAGATCTACGACCTAGAAGTCGAGCACGGCACCGAGTTGGCGCAACAGCTCGCCCAGCAACGCCTAGAACTCACGGATGCGCATGAAGCGCAGCTGCACCAAGAGAAGTTGGATGTTTCTCGGGCTCGAGCTGATGCGGCCGAGTTTACGAGAGACCTAGAAAGCACCCACGTTGAGCTTGAGAAGACTATCTTGCTCAACAACAAGCATGTTGGTCTACTCAAAGAGTATGGTGAAACAATGAGGCTGGTTAGAGAACACTTCTTTCCCTAGTGTTTACATAGATTTCATATCCTAGATAGGAGGATGTCCTCACACCACCCCCCGTCATGTATATAATAGAGTACCGCATCACGTGCAATACCATTACCTAATTATCAACTGTCTGTGCACCTAGGCGTCATGATATACTTCACATACTAGTGTAAAAATGCCACTGTAGTCACCAGATATGCCTATTAGGTGCTACTAATACCATCCTACACCCTAACTACTACCCTAGCAATCGTGAAATAAACCAGCGTAATAAACCAACTACACCAAAACTTCAAAATCCTGTCCTTGACAACTTGTCCTCGCCTCCGACTCTAACTTACAAATAATTCTAATAATAAGCAAATGTCTACCCCGTCTTGTTTGACGACCTAATAAAATACCATAACACTTTAGTATACAAAGAGTACAAGGCCTAGGTATGCACCTAGGTGTCATAAAATCCTTAACATACCAGTGTATTAACACCACTGTAGTCGTCAAACATACCTATTAGATACTTACCTACAATACAAACAGGTGTATTCACTCACCTGCATGTCACAAAACTCTCAACATACCAGTCCAAAAACGCCACTGTAGTCGCCAATACCACCCTTCACCGCACCTCCACCCTACACTTACATCTTACAAACTACCCAGCAACCTTCCAATTCATCCAAACCTATCAGCTAACAGACCAACTCCAAAACCATACCCACCCACTCCTATCCCTCCCATTCCCCCTTACTCACACTTCCTACTCTACTCACCTCACACCCCTACTAAACAAACCCTTCCACTCATCTCCGCCTAGGAAAATACTACATCTACACCCTTCTACTGCCGCTGCTGATATCGACACCAACACCAATACTCTAGTATGTAAGGGGTATGAGGACCAAAGATGTGTATATAAAGGTGGTGGGGAATGGGGGTGTTGGTGTGTGTGTGTGTGTGTGTGTGTGTGTGTGTGTGTGTGTGTGTATGTGTGTGTATAGGAAGGGGAAGCGAAGGCGACGAGGGAGGAGAGAGACTGTACGCCCATGGAGAAAGAGAAGAGGCTCAGGTGTGTCTGTGTATACAATCACCCAAAGTCAAGATTCTACTACGCCAGGTTGAAGCAGCGTAAAGGACGACACTCTACATACTTTGAGATTGACAAGGTGGACTCGGTATAAAGGCACTACCATAATAAAAAAGACGCTAGGCTAGCTACGTCAACTCCCCTCCAAACCCAAAGACCCGTCTACACAAAACCCACCACCAAGTCTTTACCCTTTCCAACGCCGATACAATGCCAAACTAATGCACACACACAGCAAACAACTAAGTCCTTTGGTAGGAAATGGAAGAGTGGAGATCATTCCGAATATCCTGGGATAAATTATCATCATCGTCGTCGTCGTCGTCGTTATCATGCACGAGGAGGGAGTCCCTCGCGCGGGACAACTCCTCAAGTGTTTGCGCCAAAGAGGCACCGTCAGCGCGGCCGCGATCCACATTAACAAGCATCATGATGGGAAACGGGAGGCCGACCAGTACGGCCAGGAACCAGAAAGCCTTTTTTCAAACATTAGTACGTGTAATCTCACACATCACTTCGACAGAAAAAAACTCACCGGTCTAATCTCGCCATACGCATCCGTAATAGCCCCCACAATCGCCGGACCAAAAACACTACTCCCCTTATCCGTGATAGCATAAAGCGCGTAAAACGCCGCTTCATAACCCGGCGGGATGAGTTCGCCAAAGAGTGCGCGACAGTAACTGCTCAGACCGCCTAGGACGAAGCCGTAGACAGCACCGAGAGGATACATTTCCCACTGTTGCTGCAGACCCAAGTACCCCAGCCGCTGGACTGCAGGGATATATCCCAAAAGCCCGTAAAGCGGAATGACTTCAAACAGCAGGATGCAGAGCAAGATGGTTTGCGTAGGACTAAGCCGGAAAAAGGACGACAGTCGCGACCAGCAAAACGCGCCTAGGACGCCGAAAACAGTGGCTATAACGTTGATGAGGGCGAGCATGGCGTACGACATGCCCAGCGTAGTCTTCGCGAAGAGCACGGCTGTGCCCGAGACGGTGGCTATACTATCTGAGAGGAGGAACCACGCAGCGAGGAAGAGCAGGACGTCTTTAAGATGGCGCGCATGTGTAGCCGTGCGTCCGAGCGACTTCCACGAGTAGGTAAAGTACGCGAGTGCAGTGCGGAAATTGCTCGTTTGCGCGGCAATGTGCAGAGGTGGGCCGGGACGGGGGCGCAACCAGCGGGCTGTGGGGAGGGTGAAGATGAACCACCAGGCGCCGATGATGAAGAGGACGAGTCGGAGGCCAAGGTTGGAGGAGCGGAATGCAATCACGACGAGTATGCCGATTGTTTGCACGAGCAAGGCTGCGATGTAGCCGATGGCGATGCCGTAGGAAGATATCTTGGTTGCTAGTGCAAGCTCGACAGAGGGGGCGGCATTGCTCTTGGCCATTGGGATGCTTAGGTCGGCTGTGTGGTTGCTCGGAAGGAGTGCGGTGGTCACGTCTGCGACTTGATCAAAGAGGCCCTCCTGGTGCGTGAGCTGATTCGGGTATCGGGCGTCTCGAATGATGTTTTCCTGCGTGGGGGTCTCTCCGCCTCTTTCCTCATCTTCTTCCGTTTCTTCTTCCTCCTCCTCTTCGTCCACGAAGGAGTTTCCCGCGGTCGACACAGCATACTTGACAGTCGGATGGAAGCGCACCATTAGTGGCAGGAAGCTGTTGAGCAGCACGAAACTTGCGCCAAAGCATGTGTTGGCGATGATTGCCAGGACTGCGCCTAGAAGATAGACTTTGGGCACGACTGGAAGAAACAGCATCGTCGCTATACTACCCACAAAGGCAAACCAAAGCAGGAATGTCTTCCTAAACCGACCGTGGTCTGCTGCGCCGCTCATGCTAATGATCAACAGAGCCTGTATCAAGACGGATATGCTAAAGGTATACATGGCGAAGCTTGCAGTGTTGATCTCGATGCCGAGAATGTGAACGACACATTGGCCCTTCTCCGGGTTTGGCGCAAAGAGGGCTCCTACGGTGCTGGCGGACAAGGAAGGGCCAGGGTTGACGGTAGGCTTTGTGGACTTGCATGGTATAGAAGGATCAGATAGGAGGACGCCATTTTCTCGCGCAAGTTGCTCGAGTGTTACGGGTATAAAGGAGCCAATGCCGCATACAACGAATACCTGCGAGTGTTAGTGGTGTTGCCATGTCGACGGGAAGGCAGCAGCAGCAGCAGCACCACAGGCATGCGCATCAATTGGAGACGCGATCAGATGGCGAAGTACATTTCATGTCTGAAGGCAATGGGGTGGAGAAATGATTAAAAGTACCTCGGCAGCCCATCCGTACATGTAGAAGCCCCGGAGCTCCTTGTCGCTCGTCAAGCGCGTGTCTTCGCCCTCGTAGTGGGGCAGATCGGGGTTGGACTCCATGTCGAAGGTCTGGATGTCGGAGAGACTCTGCTCATCGTCTGCCTCGTTGGACTGGGATATCGATGGCACCGAGACTTTGGACTGAGAAGAGGCATTGCGCATCAAGGTTGGCCGCGAGTAGGGTGGGAGCTCGGGCGCGCGCAGTGCCATCGAATGAAAGCAGCCGTCGGCTCCAGGGTCTAGACTAACTGGCTGCAGAGCGTCACCGCAGCTGAGACATGATGGGGGCTCTTAGAACAGGTGCGCAAGGGGTGACAGTGAAGGATGAAGTCGTCAGTTGGGGCCGTGAGGGAGATGTGGAGTTGTTGAGCGTGGGCATGGTTGTGCTGGGGTGGTGAGTTGAAGTATTGGCGGCGGCATGACACCTGAACATCTGATGGAGCGTCTAGTCTGGGCGGACTATCCGAGCTTGCAGAAGCTATCCGTACTTGCAGAGGCTAGGGCGCGCGTTGTTGATAGACTATAGACTACTGACCGCCGCAGCCGCAACTTCGCCTAGCAGCATTGGCGATGCGGTGAAAGCTGGCCGTAGACAGGACCAGGAATACCACCGACGCCCGCGCGTGCTTGACCAGAAACAGCGGGACCTGGCAGCACTCAAGGAACTTGTGCAATAGCAAGCTAGCTGGTGATATCAGGGTGCAGGACCCGAGGGGGCGTGACTCGGCTTTTGATGCGCGCGCGTGTTTGATAGGAGAGGCAGTGCATGCCCATGCCCATGGGAGAGAGAGCCGCCAAGGCCATCGCGTCCAGGCCTGATGTCTGGCCGACCTCATTCTTTGGTCCACTCCAACAACACCACCATGCGATAATCACGAGCGCGGACCGAGCCTCCCATGTTCATGGTTGACCGCAGTAGTGCACCATCCGCTTTCCCATCCGCTTTCACATCCGCGCCACAGCCTCTGCCACTTGTACAAGGAACCCACGCGCCTTCCTAGTTCGACTTTCCTTTGACTCAACCACCCACCGCGCATCGCGACTGCCCTGCGCCTTTTGTCCCATTCTGCACTTCTCACCCATCGACTTACCCACGGCTTCTCTCACCTGCTGCGTCGCCGCCAATACACCGTCAACCCTCTACCCGCTGAACCAACCAAAAGTCATCGCATACGTCACCACAACTGAATCACCAAACGCCCCGGAACAAGGACAGGCGCGCAAAGCGGGTGCGGCGACGGCGCCGGAGGGCTGTAGCACGGGGGACGTAGTATGCCAGGACTTCTCGTCATGAACCACAGCGCGTCCAACGCAGCCGCGGCTTCGCGAGATGGCGACATCAAGAAGCGCGCCCACGACGGGAGCCTGACGAATGGCGCCTCCACGGCAATAGCAACACCAAAAGGACCTACCCCCGAGCACTATGAGGAGCCACCGGAGATTGAACATGTCGGTGACGAGCAATACAATTCGCTGTCCACACTGTTGCTGCGCATATCCCAAGAATCCTACAATGAAATGGGCGCTTTGCTGCAAAAGATGGCTGACATCCCAATCGGCCCCACCACCAACGGCTCTTTTGCCAATGGCCTCATTGCAGCCAATTCTCAAGGAAACGCCGAGGCGAGTAAGCGGAAGAAGCTGCTTCTCCTCCAGTTCGCCCAGGAGCAGCGCGCCAAATTCATCAAGTTGCTGGTTCTCACCGAATGGGGGAAAAAGGCTGCCAAGGATCTCACCAGGCTCATTGACTTGTTCCGCTGGGCGAGTGAGCAGGCGCAGTACATGGAGGCGGCCGACTACAAGTTGGACAGGATCAAGGTGCAGTCGAACAATGCGCGAGAGAATAGCCCGGACATTGCGACTGCCTTGGAAGTGCTATCTACAGGCAAAGCCTCGTGGATGCCCAGTCTGGGCTACATTCCGCCCGAGCCCGTATCCTCAGATGAGGCTCTAAAATTACTGCGCTACATGAACACATCTCTTTCCATACGCTTAAATGTGCACGAAAACCTCCCCCGCCATCTCCGCAACTGGCGCATACATTCCGGAAGAGCCACTTTCGTCATCGAGAATGAGCTAGAATTTGATGTCATGTCTTTTGTTGAGGACGCTTCCGAGCAATGGTTCCTCATTGACGTCCGATTGATGTTCACCCCGGCACCCACCATTACCGTCGGCAGCCGGTTCTTCATGCAGCTCAAACTTCAGGCCGACTTTGTTCTGAAAGACAAGGGCCTGAGTGGCCTTTTCGACTTTCTTAACAACTTCATCCTAACCCACAAAATCTCAGTGCTACGGTCGCAGGCAGTGGGTCTTGTCCGCGCAGGATGGGCAGGTTCACTCAAGGTAGAGCCCGTGCACCGCTTGCTTGTGGTGTCATACTGGACCAACCGGCCCGGAAAGAAGAATTGGATCGAGATTGGCATTTCAAGTAACAGGCCAAAAGATGGCAAGGTCTCGTGGAGAGGTCAGCCTGTACCCTCGCTCTCTACACGCTGGTTTCGTCAGGGCAAGGAGGTCAAGGACGCTAATCTCAAATTTGACTGGAACAGCCTTTCCTTCGAGAAAGTCATCAAGCTCGTCATTGCACGCCATACGAGCGACATTTTGCGCTCCACAAAGGAGAAGCTCAAGTCTGGAGTCATGGCAGCTGCGCATCTCTCCGAGACAGAGCCTGCGGATTGCACCCTCGCCGCGACCCTCGGCACAAAATCCACTTCCATGACATTGTCGCTAGAGCCTGTTACTGGTAACTTCATCATGCGACCGGCCAGTGCACTTTCTGCGCGGGCAGAGAACGCCTTCAACCAAGGTCGAGAGCCTGAAAAAATGGCCGATGTAATCACCCAAGTACTGGCTGGTACCCTCCACACTTTGATCCAGAAGATTGCGCAACAACTCGGATGGCAGCCGGTAGCAAGACAGTCATTGCGGCCGCAAGTAGTAACGGCCGCTGTGAAGCTGGACGTTATATCGTCCACTCTATACTGCCCTCGCGGGTGGCCATCGAGCTGGGCTCTCGCTGCGGTAATAGACTCGTCTGGTGAGTCGTGGTGGGTTTTCGAGATTGGCGCCACTGGAGACAGTATCAAGACTGCTCTGCAAATCAAGATGGACAGGCCTGATGGAAGTTCCTTGCCCATCAACCGCAAAACCTTGTCGAGTATAGGAAGAGTTGCGGTGCAAGTAATATCGTTCCGCGCCACAGCATCTCGACTTGCTAGGGAGAGGAAGACTTGCAGTTTGCAGACTGAGTTGGGACAGGTGGGTGGTATCGAATCTCGTCGCATTGCTCGTAGATGGGTGTTGCACTTGCAGACTCCACATCTTCTTGTGGAAACACCAGGCCAGGATGCATGGCTTGAGCCGGATATCAAAATTACGTGCGAGGGCCTTAGAGTGCAAGGCCAGACCGTATGGCATATAGCTGCTGGTAAGATGGTAAAGGGCGTCGCAGCAGACATGCATAAGCTCATGGCAGCCTCGCCCCAAAATACTTTCAAATTCTCAGAAGATGGCAACTTTAGGATCCTCCTTTCCACGCCTTTTGCCCAAGACATACTCGGAGAACTTCGATCGCGACTACGGGATGTCAATCGCCTACGCACATTTGCGGCTACACTCCAGAAGCGCGAGATGCGGCTCGGATCGTCTTCGTTGCAGCGAGTGCAATTCCAGTACGGTCCCACCCCTTATTCTGCCACTGTCAACTTCAGTTCCGAGCAAGAATTCTCCATTGAGCTATCACCCAACAACCCACATCACCGAATTCACAAGCTACTCACTGCGATTGCCAACGACCAATTACCATCCTTTCCATCACTTGATTCCAGTGATAGCAGTGGTCTCGATCGCTTCTGCACTACTCTTGTCCTTACTCGTCCACTTTTCAAAGTCCTCCGCGAGATTGAACAACGCACACCAGGCAATTACTGCAACCCTGCAATCCACGTCCACTCCATTCTCAAGTACCGCATCACATATTCAAACCCTGTCTGCACGTTCGACATCCGTCTCCAACACAAGGGTGACAATGTACATTGGGTTCTGGAGGACAATCTACGACCCAAAGACGCCAACTTGTTACCAACGCCAGAACGCGGACAAGGCCACAGACGGCTGAACGTCTTACAAGCGAAGTTGAAGACATTGTTCAGCGAAAAGGGGACAGGCTGGTTCGGCACACGAAACGGCATGGTGACCGATTTGGACGCAATACCCGATGCACTACGCAAGCTGGATGAGGTCGTACTCAGTTGCAAGATGGAAGGCGGTTACGTTGCGCCTCCACCGCTGGTACAGCAGCAAGCTCAGAATGCGGGCCATGCGTTGGGTCAAGCCGTTGCCCAGGCAAATGGGCCGCAACAGCAACAAGCTAGGATGCAGCAACAACAACAACAGCAGCAGCAGCAACAAGCCCGCCAACAACAGCAAGCTCAACACAACCAGCAGCAGGCGCGGAGACAGCAGCAATCTCAACAGAACCAGCGCGGTCAGCAGCAGCCCAATGGCAGACCAAGCCAACAGCATATGCCAAATGGACGGCAACAAATGCAGCAACAGCAGCAGCATAGAGGTGGTCGACCTGGTCAGAATCAGAATAATGTGATTGAGATTGACTAGAGAAGTGGTCAATGGCTGCTGTGGTGAACCCATGGCGGACAATATTACATCCCCCTCACTACCGATTCTTCTTCCTTTATGTGTGCATGTATACTCTTTTCCCCCAATTTCAGTCCGACATTGGAGTGTGTGTTTGGAGAAGCACAGAAATTTTTTATTTCTTTTTCATATCTTACAAATAGGGGAGTTTTATTGTTTTAGCTATCTTTTTCCTGTCTTGTCCTCATTCAGGGCACTCGGTGTTTAGATGGTGGGGTTATTTTATTTGCACTTCCTCACCACTTCTTCTTCTTCCGGTTTCTTTACTTTTTTTACGGTAGTTTTTAAAGGATAGATGTTTGCTTGCTTGCTTACATGCATGTGGGTGTGGGCGTGGGTGTGAGGTGGATATGCAAGTGTAGGATTATGGATGGATGGGTTTACGTGACTTTAGGAGAAAAAGTTCGGGATAGCGATAGCGATGCATGGAAGTATGTGCCTAGACGAGACGGATATTGAATACATCTTCGTTTATGTGGTTATGCTGAGATTGTTGTTTTGTGTGTATGTGTGTGTGGTGGCTATGCTAAATTGCTGCTTGATAAACCTACACTCTCGGGTTTGTCATGGCGATTGCTCAGCAAACTCTCTGCGAATGTCCATGTACGTTTGTGGACGAAAGTTGAGGAGATGCGTTCCAGGCTAATCATGAGTTGCAGGAAAGGAAAGGTAGGCTGGTGACGGTAGGTAGCGCAAGTCACCCTCATGACTAGTACGGCATAGCAAACGCAATCATGTTTGTTTTCTACCTTTGAAGTTCGTTCAGAGCATGTACAACCCAACCCAATCCCAATGCCCACATCTTCCATCTTCAGCTTTACAAACAAATAACCTTGCCATCTAGACATCACCACTTCACCACTTCACAAGTTCACCCACACCGCCTATACCACATACCTCGATCAAAGTCACGGGTCTAGGTCTGGTGTCTGTTTGACGATTTCCTTCGGCGATGTCTGTCCTGCGGGCTGTGTGTGGGCATGGAATGGATTTGTTGCCAATTGAGGATGTGCTAGGGTGCTGGATTGGTGGTGTGGTGTGGTGTTTGTAGGTATACAGTTTGTAGGTAGGCGGGGCTGGGCGCTGGTATGGGGTCAAGTAGGTGCTCATTTACTTTGCTCAGCTGGGTGCGAGGATGGCCTTTACCTCGTTGTGTCGGGAAGTAGGTGGGAGTTTTGGGTTTGAGTAGTTGGGGTATTAGAGCTGCGTCCTCGTCGTTTCCTTCTTGATCTCTTACACTATCTTCAGAGACTAAGATTCTTTTCTGATCTTGGACTTCCTTTACTCACACCGGCAACGACTCTGTTCTCGTAGCTTTATCTCTAGCCATTACCTCGCCGCGTCCATCGATAGCCGACTACTCAAGCAACATGTCCGTCCTCAACAGCATCAACAATGGTGGCGCGGGCGATTTGGCAGTACAGACTGCGAGGCTCGACATCTCCGGCGTGTCGTGGCTCGAGAACCCAACCAAGGTGAGCCATTCTCTCGTATCATCGCCACATGTACTAACAAGAAAAGGTTGACCAAGTCAAGTCCCTCAAGGAGATCAGCCTGGGAAGCTGTCGTCTTCTCTACGGAAGTGAGCGTTTCAAGTTCTACGGTACAAACACCATACCAGCTCCCCAGGCCAAGCACTAATAACCGCCCCAGACCTTGTAATCGTAGAGGACGAAGCCACAAAGACATTCGTGGCCATCCTTACCTGCAACCAAGAAAGCGAGACCAAGTTCCTGCGCACAGAGACAAGCACCTGCCCCGTCCAGGCTATTCGAGCCCTCGTCCACGGACTCCAAAAGGACACGGCCAAGTTGTTCAGTGAGTATTATCCTCACCAGTCCACAGTCGAATACTGACGTAACAACACAGCCAAGTACAGTGTCGGCGCCCAGATCCGTGGTCAGCAAGGCTACACGAGCTTGACTACTGGTGAGTTCAAGTTGTGGTCCCAACCTTATGATGCGCGCCAGCCTGGTCCGAACGATGATACCCAGGGTCTCATGAGCAGAGCCCCGATTGGTCCCCGTGGTGACTACTACAACGGACGCAAGCGTACGAGGGCGGCTGAGCCGATTAGGGAGGACACGCCTGAGCTCAACTACTAGAGTTGATTGTGTCAAGGATCTAGGAGAGTAGATGGAGACGGACGAATAGTATTGCGTTTCATTTACTTCTTCTTCTTCTACTACTCGGGTGTATTCCAACCTGGACTGATCTCAAGTTGAGCATGCAAGCTAAAATGGATATGGAATGACTCGATATTGAGAAAGATGATATTTAAGAGAGACAATGTATTAGGAAGTAAGTAAGAAAAAAATATTCACATCCACCCTCCATCTCAGTCAACAGTATCGTGACATGGAGCTGGTAACTATGAATGACATCAACGCGTGTGCACGTGAATTGGAGTCGGACATGGCCCAAGCGTCCGCGTCATGACGTACGACAACCCAGGTAAGTACAGTGCGAGTGCGATTCTGCAATGCGCAATCCAATCCGTCAACCCTCATTCTCAAACCATGAACAGCCCATCCAAGCGACGAAAGAAGAATGATGGCTCAGGGAAGCCGGTACGCAGTCTAGACTACTTCTTCGCGAAACAAACGGCTAAAGCGACATCCAAAGATGCGCCCACCAACACCAGCGCGTCTGCGGAGGATGATACCACAGGATTGACGGATGAAGAACTGGCGCGAAAACTTCAGGAGCAATTCGACAAGGAAGATCAGGAGCGAGCGCAAGATGTGGAGCCGGCAAGTTCGAATGAGATTTATGCTGGTCCGGGGAAATCTATGACGGCACCCGAGTGTCATAGAGAACTTGACAGTGTGGGTAAGCACGTAATAGGCGTGTCTGGCGACTACAGTGGTCCTTGTAAACCAGTATGTCAAGTATCTTCTAACACCGGGGAGACGGACATCACCACGAAGAATGATGTCGACAATGCGTCCTTGCCGAATCGCACTATACAAGAGACGTCGAAAGCTGCACCCCCAAAGCAGAAGAATACTCTTTCCCTCCAATCGACTGCTTCCGAAGAAGATACCATAACTGCAAACATACCTTTCGACCAAAGCCCGCTCGAGTTCGATCCTCAGGACTATATACCAGACCTGCAGAAGCACTGGGTGGCGGATGGAGGTCATGCGACGTATGCGCTTCTTACACGATGTTTCATCCTGGTCAACAGCACAACGAGTCGAATCAAGATTGTAGATACACTGGTGAACCTGCTACGAACGATTATCGAAAGCGACCCCGGTAGCCTGCTCCCCGCCGTCTGGCTTGCAACGAATGCGATATCGCCACCGTACATCGATTTAGAGTTGGGACTGGGAGGATCAGCCATCTCAAAGGCCCTGAAGAAGGTGTGCGGTCTGGACAATGCGGGGTTGAAAGTGCTGAACAACAAATACGGAGATGCGGGCGATGTGGCGTTTGAGGCGAAGAAGAAGCAGTCGTTTACGCTGCGCAAACCGAAACCGCTGACTATCAAGAGCGTCTTTGAGTCGTTGGTCAAGATTGCGAATAGCAAGGGACATGGCAGCGTGGAGAACAAACAGAGAATAGTGGAGAGGTTGGTACAAGATGCAAGAGGTGCGGAAGAGAGTCGATACATTGTCCGAACGCTCGTACAGCACCTGCGCATCGGCGCCGTGAAAACCACCATGCTCATCGCATTATCGCGAGCCTTCATGCTCTCAAAACCCGCAGGCGCCGAATTCGAAATCCGCAATCGAAAAGACATGGCAAAGCTCAAGAAAGAAGAGTTGACGGAAATTTACAGCAAAAACGAGGAAATTGTCAAGGCATGTTTTGCTCGACGGCCAAACTACAATGATCTGATACCCGTACTTTTGGAAATTGGCGTCTGTGAGGAGTTACTCGTACGCTGCGGGCTGGCACTTCACATCCCACTAAGGCCCATGTTGGGTAGCATCACGCGCGACATGGGCGAGATGCTCACCAAGTTGCAGGGCCGAGACTTTGCATGCGAGTACAAGTACGACGGGCAAAGAGCGCAGGTGCACTGCGACGACAAGGGCAAAGTAACAATCTTCTCGCGGCATCTAGAAGTCATGACAGACAAGTATCCCGATTTAGTAGCTCTGGTACCCAAGATACGAGGAGAAGGCGTGTCGAGCTTTATCCTCGAGGGCGAAGTTGTAGCCGTCGATCGTGAGAGCGGAGACCTCAAGACATTCCAGACACTAGCCAACCGGGCGAGGAAAGACGTTGTAATAGGCGCTGTGACAATCGACGTCTGTCTTTTTGCATTCGACCTCATGTACCTGAATGGCGAGGAGCTACTAAACCGACCGTTTAGAGAGCGAAGATCACTCCTCAGAAGCCTCTTTGTTGAAATCCCCCACCACTTCACATGGGTCAAGAGCCTAGACGCTACATCCACCGATGTCGAAGCCGTACAATCCTTCTTCCAATCCGCGCTAGACATCAAATGCGAAGGCATAATGGTAAAACTCCTCGACAACAACAACCTCCCCAACCCAGACCTCCTCGCAGAAACCGACCAAGCCACCACCCCTTCGCTCCCACCAACGCCCCAAAAACCCAAAAAGAAACCCACCAAAACCTCAAACCCCACCCAACAAGACAACCCCCCCACCACCACCAAACAAGCTCGCCGCAAACCCCTCCTCTCCACCTACGAACCCGACAAACGCCTCGACGCCTGGCTCAAAGTCAAAAAAGACTACAACACCACCACGTCCGAAACCCTCGACCTAATCCCCATCGCCGCCTTCCACGGCTCCGGCCGAAAAGCCTCATGGTGGTCCCCGATCCTACTCGCGATCCGAAACGGCGAATCCGGCCAATTGGAAGCCGTGACAAAATGCATGTCGGGCTTCACAGACGCGTTTTACAAGGCCAACCGTGCGAAATACAACCCCGATGATGCGGATTGCACGGCGGTGCTGCCGCGCAAACCGAGTTATGTGAGTTATAATGGGGGTGCGGGGGAGCCGGCAGTGTGGTTTGAACCGCAGGAGGTGTGGGAGGTGGCGTTTGCGGATTTGACGCTGAGTCCGACGTATACGGCGGCGATGGGGTTGGTGAGTGGGGAGAGGGGGTTGAGTACGCGGTTTCCGAGGTTTTTGAGGGTGAGGGCGGATAAGGGGGTCGAGGAGGCGACGGAGGCGGGGGAGTTGGCTGAGTTGTATTGGAAGCAGGAGGCCAAGGGTCCGGTGAGGAAGGACGATGATGTTGTGGAGGAGGAGGGGGAGGAGTGAAATGATGTGTCAGGATACCCGATGAATACATGTAGTCACTTGGAGACACGATATTGGCTGCAAAAGCATTTTATGATTGATAAGTTGTGAAAGCTACCTCTCTCACTTCCACCAACGATCCTCCTCGGTGATCCTTTTAGCACCTACTACTTCAGTGTGCGAAACCTCCACCATCCGTCCTCTGGCTCCCCTAAAGAGATGGAGATAGGAAAGTCGTAAAGAACCTCCTTCATGGGGTAATACTCGCCCAGCCGCGCCGCATCCAAGCACCATCGACGACGTGAGCAAACACGCCCAACGATGTTGCCGGCAAAGCTCCTCGTCCCTCCGCCGTCAAGCTCGTCTCAAAGAACCTCGAAGCGGGAATCTTTTCTTTGGCGGAAGAAAGCGACTAGCAGCAGCACGCGCATAGGCAGCAAACCACGTCACATCTTAGAAACCATGGACCTTGATGGTCTTCCCATCAAGCCCCAGGCCCTCCTTCTTGTCGGTCAAGAAGTCCTGAACATCCTTGCGCTGATCGCCCTGCAGCTGAATCACCTCGCCCATTTCATTGTCGGCGACGACGGTGCCATTGCACGCAAACTTCTTCTTGATGACTTTGAGAATCTTCTTCTGGTCAAACTTCTTGGGCAGGCCTTGGACCGTTGTTAGGGTTTTGCGACCATTGCGCTCTGTGGTGGGTTGACGTCAGCGTTTTGCGCGATTTATGGGGGTTGCGGTGAGAGGTCGTGTGTCGTCGCGCGCGCGACACACAAGGTGGGTGTCATGGGAAAGGGGGTACGTACGTTGAATACGGATGTGGATGTAGTTCTGCTGCGTGGATTTTACTTCTCCTCCAGCATCATCGGCCTCCGCGAACGGATCGAAGGACTTGAGATTCTGGATGTCCGTGGTCATGAAATCGACTGGCGGGTTTGGTGCGAGAGAGTCGAGTCGAGTTAACGTCTAGCAGAGTAACTTGTGATGATCAAGTAGCACGCGTGGGCTTGGGGTATATGAAGAGAGGAGAGAGAGAGAAGTTTATATGTGAGAGTGAGACGTGGAGTGAGAGCGGTCGAGGGTATTAATCGGCAAAGGGTGGCGAGAGGGCAGCAGTCCGTCAGCTAGCCTAGCAGCCCAAGACTGACCCGCCGGGTGGTCTAAGCCCCGCTGCCAAGGCGCAAATCCGGAACTGTGACTAGCTCCCACGACCCCCCCTGCTTGTCCATCCACATCACCCCAACCTAGCAAGGGGGGACGGTAGACAATCCAGATGTGATACACACTGCATGTGACAGATAGCATGCCTCATGGATATCTTTTCTGTCATCAAGCTTCCTTCACACTCATGTGGCAGCGCGAGGGCATGACTGTTCTCGCGACTATCATGTTTCAGCCGTCATCTTTTTTGTACCACTAACTACCTTATCACGCCCTCGCCCCCTCCGATTGCGCATGGGCTCTCAGCTTGTTACGCCGTCTTGTGCTCAACAAAAAATGCAGCACAGACACCAACATGAGTAATGAACAGAAGAAATGGTATTCTTTACATGCGTCCCTGAGGCGGTCGGTACACCACAGCGTCGATCCACAACACTCGATAGAGCAGTGAGACACTCGTCGGAGAAAGCAAAGAGCATTTCGAAACGTGCCTTTCTGGTTAGGCATCTTATGCGCTGGTGGTAAAACAGGAATAAGCAATTCGCTGCGTAGGGCATCTTCGTTCACCACTGTCTACGATGGAGTATAACGACATCACCGGAAGCAGCAGGATGGGCAGTTCTCTGAAAAGTCACCAGTCGCGTCGTTAATACACACTTCAACGAGTATGCTCTGAGCCTCACAAGAACACTCGGCGTTGTCATGGAAACGGGATTATCGGCGCGGTAGGATATCGTAGATGGCCTGTATTGTCGGTATGCTCCTCACGCCACCACCATCACACTCCCCACATTACCCTCGCCTCTCCCCCCAATAATCAAAAACTCTCCTTCGGCGAAACCACGACACCACCCCCACCCCCAAACCGCTCCTCAAGCCCCCTCGACAACGATTGTTCGAAATCAAACGGACTAAACAGCGGCTGCGGAATAGTAATACTATCCTTCCTCAACATCTCCACCTCCACTTCCACTTCCACCTCCTTCTCTGTCTCTCCTACATCTGGGACGCGATTTGTCGTGCGAACGCTGGTTCCACTGACATTGCGTAGATGCGCGGGGGTCTGGGGTGGTGTCGAGACTACTTCTTGTACCTCGGTCCTCAGACTGTTCTTGCGGTGGTACGGCGCGAAGATTGCTTGGAGGGAGTTGGTGGATATCGGGGTGTAAGGCGCGTCTTGTCTAAACGCTGCTGTTTGGGATGTTGGTGAGGTGACGGGTGTTGAAGATGCCATGGTACCGCCGAGTCCTCTCCGGGAGGTAGGCGGCGCAATCTTCAGTGGCGCTTTGCTAGTGATTGAGCAGCTCTTTGGCAGTACGGTAGAGAATGATGTAGCAGCGGGAACTTTTGATATCCGAGTGACGCTTGGTCTTCGTTCATCATGAGGTGACGCCTCCAACGGCAGCCTGTCCGCCTCAGACGCGGCAGAATCCATTCGGAGGCGTAGTGTAGTAGGCGTAGCTGGGACCGGGGAAGCTACTGGACTTTCCGGGACATCGGGTAGTGATGGCACTGATATGTTGCGGATACCGTATGGCTTGAACTTGTCAAAGGCACCATACTGTTGCATTTCCTTTGTTGTATCGGAAGTGGAACTTGACCGGCAGTGGGTCCTGCCATTCGCCAAAGTGTTGTTCATCCGAAAGGGCGTCGGTGAGTAAGACAAGGCCGACACCGGATGACGTGCAAGCGAGGATTCGCTAATACTACGCTTGTGGACGAGAGGTCTCGGCACGTCTAGATTAGGGAAGCTCATTACGAAGTCGTTCCTGTAATCGGGTGATAGTGGTAGAGCTGAACAGGGAGAGAGATTAGAGTCGACACGGGTCGTTCCACTTCCCAAGTCATCCTCCATCAATTCTTGTAATGTAGTGGGTATGTCGAGCTCGAGCGGTCGTGTCATGACTCTGGTGAGTCGGTTCGTTGGAGTCGTTGCGTGACACGAATCGTGTGAAGGAGATGACAGTGAAGGACTTGTTGGGCACTCTGCCTTCGCCGTTGCAGTGCTGGGGGTATCCACAACAGGCGGAGAACTGTTGAAGCCGCTCACCTCAGGACTTGACGTACAAAATGCTGAACGAACAGGTGTGGAAGCTACAGGTCTAAGAGAGGAGACATCTGAATCATGGTCGCAAGCTCTTTCACAACCGTTCATCTGCTCAGTCATCTTTCTCAGTTTACGAATGTCGCTTCTGTAGCCCTTGATGTCTAGTTTGAAGAGAATAATCTCTCGGACGTAGAAGTCGACCTCGTGTTGGAGGCTCTTCAATTGTGCGTCGGGCGTGTCGAGTAGAGGATCCTGCTCACCCCTCGGTCGGTCTCTTGCAAGGCGTTCCTTGAGCCTACGCATCCATCGGTCGATGTCTTCTCTTTTTGCGAGCGTAGTAAGGTCCGGCAATGGATCGTCTTTCGAAGAGGTGTACAGTTTGATTGCCGCGTGTTTCCTTATCTCAGCCTGTAATAAGAGCTTGTGATACTCCAGCTGTCTTGCAATTACCCGAATTGTCTTTTGCTTTTCTGCAATAATGGCATCGCGCTCATTGATGGCTTCCTGAAGCGTTTCAACATCCGTACCCGTTCGTGTCGTCTTGTGCAGAAGATCTTCCTGGATATCTGAGTGTATCGACAGTTTGTTGTTTTCTTGCCGTAGCTGATCGCATTGCTGTCGCAGCTGCTCACGATCTTCTTCTAACTCAGCGATGCATGCATTCTTCTCCCTCACTTCCTCTTGAAGTCGCTCAACACGTGCAACGATGGCAGCCACGACCGAGTTCTCCTTGGAATCGACATCTGCGTCCGAAATTACTGGCTCGAGCTTTGACGAAGTAACGTCAAAGGGCGATTTCTGGCCTTGGAAGTTGGAAAGTTGTTCCTCTGCGTCACTAAGACGAGCAACGGTCTTAGTACATGTCCACGATGTATTCGTGTACCAATATTACTCACATTCGATTGGTGTTGGCAATCTCGAGACGACTTTCAAGATCTTCGATGGTGTTCTCCAGGGCTTGGATCTTCATCGCGAGATTGTCGGCATGTGCAGCCTTGTCTTCCCATTCAGCGCATCTCATCTCGGTCATACCCAATGTACTCCGCAGCTCCCTCTCATTCTTCTTTGACTCGGTCAACTTTGCCATTAGTGACATGATCTGCCCCTGAAGAGCTACATTGTTCTGCTTGAACTGGTTGAGTTCCGGTGCTAGATTCCGAGTCTCAGTCTCTGACGGTTGCGGTATGCTGAGCTTGCGCCTCAAGAACACCTGTAATTACAAATTAGCGAGATTTGCATAACAAAAGACGAGCGTTCTTACCATTTCAGAATTCTCTTGGGGGTTTTGAGGTGTCTGCCGTCCCTCAAACGGGCCGCGAATAGATGGAAGCGATTTTGCGGCTGCGTGACTTGGTTTGTTCTGAGAACATGCACGAGTGGGTATTTGAGTGCTTCCAGTCGTGTCCAACACGAAGGGGAAACTATCGATTGAGGCTAGAAACGTTTAGTTGTTTGTTGATTGCTTGTGTCACAGGGTACGGCGCCAGGAACCGGCATTGACCAGCCCAATGGAAAGGGCAATGGTGTCTCTGCTGTACTGGAAAGAGCGATGGTTGGTTAGATAGAAATTACGTACCGTGATGTAGTTCGTGCCTGCCGTTTTGTTCCTCGAGCACCCGTATCTGATTGCGCAAGGACGCGACTTCCGTCTGATGTGTCTCTACGAGGCTTGCAACTTTTGCCTCGTGTGATGCTCTGAGACGACTGAATTGAGTCTTCAATTTTGAAATAGTCAAGTCTGGCGTGGTGGTTGACTTGGGCTCCTCGATCTGCTTGAGGCGCGATCTTGATGGGTTGAGCGGGGACGACGCCTAGTGCGGGATCAGCATTCGTCTACTACGTACTAAGTTCTTAGAGACGTGCGATGTTGTCATCGTAGGGTAGAAAAAGGTATTAGTAGCAACGGCTTTTGAAATGCCGGCCTGGCGGCAATGAGACGTGGAAGGAGCCACCACGTCCGTCGGCTGTCAGACCTGCGACCCGCTGCACATTGGGACTACCCAGAACCAAGCCTCACGCCTGGCTGAGAAGTAGCCTTGTGAATCTAGCTCAGGCACAATTTGTCGCATTAGAGTTGGAGATGGGGGATACAGAAGTTCTGAAACTGTTTCGTTATGCGATCTTGTTTGTCCAGTAAACACGCATCGACAACGAAACAAACAACAACTCACCTCAGATCGATAGCCTCGGGGTCTCTCAGAATCGCGGCCACAGTAAATTTTCTCTTCCACCGACAGTGCTGGGCGCGCATGGACCCTCCCAGTACCTGCCCGCACCGTACCACCCCGATTCCTCTCCTCTCTCGCCACTGAACCTACATCACTAGGAGAAAAAGGTGGCGTCCCTAGGTGAGATCTCGAACGGCTCGGCACGCCGGCATTATTCATCAAGTGCTTCTCCTTCATCTCCAGTGGTTCGGCCTTGGTGGCAGTACCAGGATTGAGAGCATTACTGCTACGAATATGCCTCATAGTACTATATCGCGAGCTCAGTTCTGGGACGCTTCTTGTGTGGGCCAATGGTGCCGAAATCAAGTTCAATGCGTCCAAAGAGACTCTCTCGTAATCCAAGCACTTGCTTGGGGGGTGACTTTCTCTCCGATAGATTTGAGTGACAGGGCGGGTGGGTATAGAGGTTGTACAAGACGGGAAGCCTTGGTTTTCAAGTAATAGGGAACCAGGCAATTCAGCGGGTAGTTCTGCAATGGAAGAGACAGAGACAGACCGTGGGCGGTTTGGAAGGGGCTTTTGTACGGATGCAGATCTTGAAAAAGCAGAGATGCTTGATACTGGCGAGCGTAACAGATCATTGAACGCGGTCTGGAGGCTGGTCGTTGCGCTGACCAAGACGCCATTGTACTCATCTGTAACAGGACTGAGGTCATATTGCTGCTTGTCTGGAGGAAGGATTACGAGGCTCGGCCGTTCAGTCTTCAGCGCAGTCTAGTGGGAGGTTAGCAAATTGAGGCACAGCAGACGTTGCACAGCATCACCACCCGCGCATGCCGCATTATGCATATGCTTCTCTATGCAGCGGCGCGTTTTTCTTGCGGTACATGCGATTTGTCTACAACGATTTACCGTACCTTTGCATCCAATTCATTACTAGGTTCTGTCGCAACCGTATCGATGGGAAGCAGCCCTCCTGTGCGATAGTAGGGTTCCGAACTGGACGACCGTTTGGACCATGATAGGATTCGCTTGGAAGGCATCGCGTTGATTTCGCGCCTTCACGCTCAATGGCGTGGAAGCTGCTGATACATGGAGGTGGGAAAGGGGCCGACGCGCTCAAATCGTGATAGTGTGATGAAAGTGCAAAGAGGATTTGGACAAGCACGTAGTCACCATAAGGTTTACGGATATCCACAAGGTGGTTTTACTACCTTTGGCAGGGCGTCTGCCTGGTTCTAAGTGACGGCTGTCATGTCTCGGGCTTTGCTAGGTGAGAGCCGCACGGCAGCTTAAGGCCGGACACGAAGCTTACAGGGGCGGAAATGGCCGAGTGGGCGAGAGACAAGAAATGTGTGCTCCTTGCATATTCTTAGCCGCCTGGGGGTCCGAAAGTGGACGCCGTGTTGTAGAAGGAGCGAATAGATGGGATGGCGTTGAGGCGTGGTAGCGCGACGCCGGTGCTGGTGATGGCATTGCAGGACGCTCGGACCTACTAGTATGGGGAAACCGCGACTGAGCTGTACAGCTCTGGTGTTCACTTTTACGTCCTAGTCACTCGGCGCTTTTACAGTAATTCTTCGTGCATTATATTGCATCACTTGTCCGCAGTGGAATGGTCTAGCCGAATATCACCGCAGTGCGAATTGCACCATTTGGAGAGCTGGCTCGCTATATATTCCGCTTGCCAAAAAAAGTTGTGGAACGTCATTGCGCCCCAAGTTCAACGCTGCGCCTCCATCTTACCCACAACACGGCCCCGACATGGCGAGAGACTTGTCACCCTACAGCGCACGACGGCTGCTGACACAGCAACTGGTCGAAGGAAAGACAGCTTCGCCTTCGCCGCAGACTGGCAACAGCAGGAGCGGTAGTCCGGGAAGGGTCTCAAGGCACGGATCAGAACGACCGAAAAAGGAGCCCGTAGCATCTGGTCGACGATCGAGGAGTAGATCAAGGGAGAGGAAGCCGCCGCCGCCTTCGTCGAGGGAGGCCAAGGATGCGACTGTAGAACCAGACACAGTTGTCAAGCGCGACCCGTCACCCGAACCATACCGGAAGCCGCGAGTTGCATCCCGAGAAAGGAAGCGCCATGGCTCGAGAGAAGGAAAGAGGGACCGCTCAAGGGACCGCTCAAGGGATCGGCGGCGAGACAAGTCACGGGACAGGAGACGGGATCGGTCTGGAGACAGAAAGAGGGATTCTTCAAAAAACAAGCGACGCGACCGCTCACGTGCCAAGGACACGGACAGAGACAAGAAGCGAGATGGTTCAAGAGAGAGACACAGTCGTCGAGATCGGTCGCGCTCCAGAGACCGACGGCGCAGAGACAAGTCCACCCAAGGACGACGGTCACGCTCGCCCCTACCCTATCGTTCTCGCAAGCCACGTACCCGCTCGCCCTCGGCATCCGCGTCTCCACCCCCCAAACGCCGTCGTCGCACGCGATCGCCCTCTCCCCATAAACGAACAAAGCAACCTCTACCATCACAGGAAGTCTCATTCCGTGGCCTCGACGACTCTGCTCAGCCGCCGTCCAAGTATGGAGGTGCGCCGCCAGACAAGGAGAAGCCCAACTTCAAGCCCACCGGTGCGCTGGCGAAAGCGGCCAACCGAGTAGAAGGTACCAAGATCATCCTCAAGTACCACGAGCCAGCCGAAGCGCGAAAGCCACCTGCCTCACAACCTTGGCGAATCTTTGTCTTCAAGGGGGACGATGTCGTAGACACGATTGAATTATGGCAAAAGAGTTGCTGGCTACTAGGCCGTGCACACGAAGTCGCCGACTATGTGCTCGAGCATCCCAGTTCGAGCGGGCAACACGCCGTTATTCAGTTCCGGTACATAACAAAAACAAAGGAAGACGAGTTTGGCGTAAAGAGCACGAGCGGAAAGGTCAAGCCCTATATCATCGACCTGGAGAGCAGTAATGGAACGGAGCTGAATGGTGAGGATCTCGAGGCGAGTCGCTACTTTGAGCTCAGGGACAAGGACGTACTCAAGTTTGGTGGAAGCGAGAGGGAGTACGTAGTCATGCTGCCGCCACCGGAACTCAAATAATGGGCCGTCATGTATCATAGAACGTCGGGATACCAAAGCATTGTCTCTACATAGACAGGGTTGAAGTTGACCCATAATCCCAAACAAAAGTTTCCAACAAAGCTTCTTTATCACTTTCCACTCGTTTACGTCTCTACCGCCAACAACAGGTGCGATACTATCACATCCCACACCTACTCAAGCAAAAAACACACACTGAGAACCAAATTACTAGGAAGACGATAATATTACTCCACAACAAATCTCCCAACAAACCAAGCAAAGCCTCCCACATCCCACACCCTTACCCTATACACACCGAAACCTAATAACACACGATACAGCGAAGTCCCTGAGTACTAGGACGGCACCTACACACAAACCCCTCCTCCTCAGAACTCATATTAACCACATCTGATAACGTCCTCCGGACATGGCAGTCGTGGTAACATACCTCCCCCACCGCAAACAGGGCAAGGGTATCTAATCGGAGGACGAGTTCGCGCTCCTCCACAGACAATCGTGTTAGAATCGTCTTCACTCGAACAAGGAGTCACAGATCCACATTCAATCGTGTCAGAATCGTCTTCCCTCGAAGAAGAACGAGTTCGCACTTCTCCACACCGAATCGTCCTCTCAACCCTCTTAGGCGCCTCTCCAACTAGCGCAGCCGGCAAAAGTGCCGCTCTAGCTAAACGTGTTTCGTTGTAGAAACCCGTGGGGCGGTTGCGCTGGTTGCGCAGTTGGTAGTCAAAGCGACTACGACTACGGGTTAGGTTGGTGGTGTTCGGCTTTCTGACAGGTGCCTTTCTGATGATGTATTCAATATATGTAGGAGGGTTCGGGTTGGTTTTGGCGGTGCTTCTGGTGGTTGGTCTGGCGGGTCGGGGGGTGGGCTTGGTGCGGAGGATACGATCTGGATCGAACATTATGTTGGTGCGGGGGCGGGGGCGGGGGATGCCTCTTCTCTCGGTCATTGCGATGGTGTTGGTGTTTTGGAGGTTTGGTTGTAATTGAGTGGATGCCTGGGATTGAGTTGGTGTTCTGATGGACTTGATGGGTGAGACAATGTGTGGTTTAAATATTTGATATAGCTGGGTGGTTGGTGTGAAGGGGAGGAGACTAAGGGATAAAGGGCTTGCTCTGGTATTGTTCTAGACCTGGTGGAGGGGGAGAAAGTATGAAAGCCGGGTTAGTTGACAAAGGCGTATTGATGGAGGCGTTGATGCCGTTGTAAGTCTTTGTATGTGTGTGAGCCGAAGATGCGTGTCATACGCTTCAACGGACTAATGGGCTTGCCATCAAAGCTGAGACATGTTCACTTGACCTTTGCTAAAAAAGACATGATCTAGACAGCAGACCCGGTATCTACGTAGGGCTTACGGAATGTATATGTAGTAGTACCGTAGAGTCATCAAGCGTAGAGAATTTCCAGTGCTCTGCTAAACACTTTGCCTTAGAAGTAAGGTGAACACAGCTACATTCAACTTACGATGTTGTGCAAATTATCCCAGTCATCGTAGTGTTGAGATAATGCAGTCCAAGATCGCTGCAAGGGTCCTTGGTCCTACGAGAATGCCGCGCTGCCGTCTTGGCAGGGACAGCCGTCATCAGCACCCCACAGTTCGTATACGGCAGGCCTGAGCCTTGCGCGTCTCCGCACGCGTGTCCTCACTTCTTTTCTGCTTACCCCCCTTTCTCCTTATTCCCTTTTAATGCAACCATGGCTCTCCTGCGGCGATACGGACTCTACACGATTCTCACGGCCGGCTTCATCTGCTTTCTCTACTCGCTCAGTTTCCCGTATGACCCAGTGCCATTGACGTACCGTCCGCGACCGAAAAAAATCAAGAATCAAAAATACAAGTCATTCGACTGGGCTAGTGTACCGTGGCAAAACCCCGTCGATTCCGTCATTCCGCTACCGACTAGCAAACCTACCGCGCTACCCCAGATACAATTCAAGTTTGGCAAGGAGGACGCGGCGGATAAGAAGATACGTGAGGCTAGGCTGGATGATGTCAAGCAGCAATTCCTCAAGTGTTGGAACCACTACAAAGAGTATGCCTGGATGGACGACGAGGTACGGCCTATAAGCGGGGATGTCTCGAATCATTTCGGAGGCTGGGCCGCTACGCTCATCGATGCGCTCGACACGCTATACATAATGGGCTTTGAGGAAGAGTTCGCAATGGCTGTGGAAGATATTGAGGATATTGATTTCGGATACACAGATTTGGACAAGGTGAATGTCTTCGAGACGAACATCCGACACTTGGGTGGACTCCTCGCCTCCTACGAGCTGAGTGGAGACAAGAGGTTGTTGAACAAAGCAAAGGAGGCTGGTGAGATGTTGCTGCACGCCTTTGACACGCCCAACCATATGCCGATTACCCGCTGGCAATTCCGTGCTGCGGGCGAAGGCAAGCCACAAAAGGCCGACGAACAGGTCCTTCTCGCTGAAATTGGAAGTCTGACCATGGAGTTCACCCGTCTCTCGGAGCTGACCGGGGAACCGAAATGGTTCGACGCCGTCAACAGGGTAATAAAGGTCCTCGACGAACAACAGAGCAAAACCCAGCTACCAGGCATGTGGCCCACCATCGTCAATGCTAGCAACGCCGATTTCACCAGCGACGGTGGTTTCACACTAGGAAGCATGTCCGACTCAACATACGAGTACTTCGGAAAACAATACGCTCTGCTCGGCGGCCGCGACCCCATCTACCGCAAAATGTACGAAAAATCAATGGAAACAGCGTCCAAACACGCCCTGTACAGACCATCCACGCCCGACAACACCGACATGCTCATGGCAGGCTTCGTCCGCGTCGAAAAGCAAAAAATCTACCTCGACCCAGAAATGCAGCACCTGTCCTGCTACACAGGCGGCATGTTCGCCCTCGGCGGCAAAATCTTCCAAAACGACGAGCACGTCGAAATCGGCCGCAAACTAGCAAACACATGCGTGTGGGCATACAGAGTCTCGCCCGTGGGCATCATGCCCGAAGTATCGCACCTGCTCAATTGCAAGGACAAGAAGACGTGCAAATGGGACGAGAAGGCGTGGCTGGACGGTATCCGTCTGCGCACAGCAGATTCCAACGAGGAAAAAGATCCGGTGAAGAATATCGCTAATCTACGTCTCCCCACTGGTTTCACCTCGATTGAAGATCGACGCTACCTTCTCCGACCAGAGGCCATCGAGAGCGTCTTCGTCATGTGGCGTATTACGGGCGAGCGGCAGTGGCAGAATGCGGCGTGGAATATGTGGACGGCGATTATGAAGGTTACGGATACGGATATTGGGAATTCGGCACTTAGGGATGTTTCGGCTAATCCGCCGCCAAGGGAGGATAGCATGGAGGTGAGTTGTCATCAATTTCATGTGAAGATTTTGGGTGTCGATGCTAACGCAAAAACAGAGTTTCTGGATGGCGGAAACGCTAAAGTACTTTTACCTCATTTTTAGCGAGCCCAGTGTTATTAGCTTGGATGACTGGGTTTTTAATACTGAAGCGCATCCGTTTAAGATACCTAAACCGTAGGCTGCAGCTGTGGGCGTGGGCGCGGGTGTTAGATTCTAATGGTAATAACCCAATGGCAGTAGTTTTAGATACGAGGGTTTCTTTTCAGCGGGGTGGGTGAGGATGCGTGCTATGCTGGGGTTTTCGTTCTTTGCTAGATACATGTTTTACTAGAATAATGATATTATAATATAACAAAGTTCACACTCGTTCCCACTCGTTCCCCTTCGCACGATCCTTCAATCTATCCCCCACACTCACTTGCAACTAATACATCTACCCTCGTGATACTACCATGTGCGACTAAAAGCACGCTGAGAACAGTCTTTCTCGTTATGAATGTATGCACTCAACCGGTCAAGTATACGCCACAAAGCCATCTCTAATATTAAGGAATCATCACACACATCCTCACTCACACATCCAAAACCAAACCGGGTATATAAAATGATTTCAATCAATCTCATATCCTCTAATAGCGACCAGAAAACAAAGGCTATGCCTCCTCTTCCATCTCAAAACAAAAAAGCAGGACAGACAGAAGACGAGACGTGAAGAGGAGTGCATTCGCTCCACTCGTAGACCAAAAAGAAACAACCCCCCCGCTATAAAAACGCCATTCAATGCACATTTCCAACAAGGCACAAACCCCCCTCCTCCCCACTGCCTATTTCTATTCCATCCCACCTACAATATTGACACTCAATACGTCAAAACCTTCTGCCCCCCCTTCCCATCATGCCCCTCGCCCGGTTTAGCAAAACTACACCACCGATCCTTAATAGCAACAACCTCATACGTGCCCTCTTCCTGCACGGGAATACTCATGCTCATGTCATGACTAACCTCAGTCCTGATTTCCAACACCTTGCTCTTCCGTGCTTTATTCGCATTCGTGCTGCGGGTGTAAGTAAACTCAAAGGGCGGGGTCCCCCAGAACTGGAACTCGAGGTCTGTGCCGCCGCCCTCGTGGATGTCGACTTCGCTGACCTGGCCGCCGGAGAGACGGACGGACGGGATGGGGTGGATGGTTTTTGTCAGGGCGAGAGTAGCGCGGCAGTCCGAGGCCGAGTCGCTGAGACCCGTGATGGTGAAGGTGCCGGGTAGCTCGGCGAGGCGGCGGAAGGTGGTGCCGGGGTTGGCGGCTTTGCGCTCTTGCTTTTCGAACGTGTAGAAGACTTGGAAGGGGCTTTGGCCGCTGAGGGCGAAGGAGAGGCGCTCGCCGACGCAGAAGTCTTGTCGTTCTTCGAGGGCTGTAGCGGTTGGGGCGTCGTGAACACTAATCTGGACACGGGGACCGCCTGGTGGGGGCTTGAGTGTGCAACCACGCGAGTCGCGTACCTTGCGGATGGAGATCGAGGAGTGGCCCAGGTGCATCTTGCGATGCTCAATCTTGAGGTCGTACTTGTTCGTGGGAATGTTCTTGTGTACGCTAATCTCTGGCTTAGGCGTACCCTGGTGCTTGATCTCGACCTCCAGGTAGAACGGCGCAACGCCTTCGAGAGTAATGGGAATGACTTCTTCGCCCTCTGACTCCCTAGAACAGTAGCTGTATGTCTTTCCAGGCTTATCGAAGCGAGCGCCAGGACGCGAATGGACCTCTTGTTGAACCGTGATTGGCGAGAAGTGCTGCTTCGAGTGATCGTACCGGGCGTCTGCGAGCTTGAGGAACGTGTACTCGTAGGTACCAGCCTTTGATGTCTCTGATCGAATCGAGGCGAGGCCGCCAACAGTGTGCAAGTCCTTTTCGCTGACAGAGGCTGTTTTTCCCTTTTTGTCCTTGTACTCCTGTCGGTAGGATATGTCAAAGGGTGCGTTTCCTGTGGTGTGTGAGTAAGAATATGAATTAAAGAATAGGCAACGTACCGGTAAGAGCAACATCAAATGTATCCTCGTCACCTTCACAAACGGCGTCCTTGATATACTTGTCACCCTCTAGTATTGCGCTCGATTCCGGAATGCGGAGCGAAGGGCGAGCCACCCAGGAAACATCGAATTGGTCAGCCTTCTCGTCGACCAAACCAGGACACACGGAATCCCTGACGGACAGCAATTGATAAGTTCCGGCATCCTTGACTTGAAGAAATGAGTTGGGGCTCGAGAAGGTTTCCTTCATGACTTCCTTGGTCTTGAGATTCTCGTACTGCAGCTTCCAAGGACCGTTTCCGGTAAAGCGAAGGGGAAGTCCAACCTGGCGACTTTCCAGAGCCAGGATAGACTGCTTCCCTTCAATGTGCCCAAAGTAGGCCTTGGGTCGCTCGTGCCGTACGTTGACTCTCGCTTCTTCTTTCAGAACCTCCTTGCATTTGGACTTGTCGGTAACACTGGTCAAAGCCACAACGTACTCTCCTCCACTGCTGAGTTTGTCTGTTCGGATGGTGTAGTGGGGATTTTCTGTCTCAATGGTTCGCTTGGTACGCTTGCCATTGTGGACGACTTCGTATTCCAGCTTCCATGGTGCTTCACCGACAAAGCCAACATCGAACTCTGCAACTTCATCGATGCAAGCTTGCTTAGGCCTGCGGCTCTCGACGAAATGAGCTTGTGCTGATGGTTTGACGTCTTGTTGGAGTTTGATGTTGTGCAGTGGCCTCTCCTTGTATACCGAGTCGCTAATAGTCTTGAAGGTGTATTCATAGTGGCCAGCATTTTGGGGAGTAAGATCGATAGTACTGCGGAGGCTGGCAATTTGGAGCGGTGGCTTCCTGACCTCGCGGTTGTTGTCCTTCTTCTCGTAGTAGGTGACAACGAAAGGTGGACTACCCACAAAGTCAAGACCCACTCGGAGACCGATTGGATTCCCAGCACATTTGTCAATGATGTCCTCACTGTCTAGAGTGAGGTCCGGCATGGGTGGGTTCTGCAGTAGGCAAGAAGTAGGTTCAAAGACTTCACCCTCGCAAAAGTCCGTTGAGACAGACTTGATGGTGTAAAGACCGGGCTCGGAGATGACGGGCTGCTCACCCTTCCTCAGAACCTGCTTTTGCAGTACTGCGTCTGGGGCATGGTATCCGTCCGCGACAATGTTCTCTTGCGGTGTGAAAAGGTAGCCGATAGTGTGTGCAGAATCTATCGGGTGTTTGCCGGTAGATGCATAATGTACCGGGAGGCGAGCGGAATTCCCTTTTGGCACTCGGAGAGGGTTTTGGGGGCTACAGCCTTTGAGGTAAGACGTGGGCCGCTCGTGGACCTCGAATAGCTGGCGAATGCCCGCAATCTTGGGTCTTGGACGCTCATCGTCATCGACATCGACATAGCTGACAAAGTTGCCGAGACCGTCCTGGACCTCTTCAATCTCATACTCCCACGAACCACTAGTCGTGAGGGTTTCGTTCAGGGGCACCATGACCTTGTGTGAGCGCGCCCATGAGATGTCCTCGCGACCGCTCTTGACCAATGCTTGTGATGTGTGTTTTGACAGAGGTGAGACGGAATCTTCTGGTTGCAGGTTCTGGAATTGGGAACCGCCTCGGGGCTTTCCATTGACCGTCAGGCGGTACTTGACATTGAGAGGCGGCGTTCCTTCGACTTCTAGAGCAACGTTGGACAGATCGCTGCGACAGCGATCGTTGCCTGTTGGCTTCACTCGAGCCTGCGGGCATGTGGCTACGACGGCGTTTGTCGACCGCGGTCGCACTAGGAGCTTGGACTGATCCGTAACCCTCTTCAGCAGATAGACACCTGGCTTCTTGACGGTGTAGGCCAGAGTCAAAGGCTCGTCAGGGTCCGTGGACTTTGCCGCCTTCCTAGCCTTCTTCATCATTGTCTTCAGCTCACCCTTTTTGACCACGATGGTCTCGTTGATGTTGGTCGCAATGTCGATGCGCAGTAGCTCCATCTCGTGGGGCTCCGTCTGGTTGATTCTGATGGGAATCTCCAGTTGGGTAACGGTCGAGTTTAGACAGAAGGACTGCCTGTCGGGGTTCAAGATGGCGGATCCCTCAGGTAAGATGTTGACAATTTGCTTTCCCAGAATCAACGAGGCATTGTGCAGAATTGCGCCAGGCTTGACGCTCCGTTCGCTGATAGCCAATTCGCTGTCCCACAAGAAGCCGACCAAGGTCATGAGCCAGGTCTGTACTGGTATGCCAATTCGAAACATGAGCATGACATCCATGGCCGCATGCATGACAAACAAGAGAAAGGCGGCGCCATTGCCCCATTCCAGCCAGGGAATTTCGAGCAGCGGGATGCCAAACATGAACAGCACGTCGAAGAAGCACCATTTTAGGCACAGCCAAAGCGACTCATCCTCTTCCACTGCCAAGGTGTAGAAGTCGTATGTGCGATATGCCCAGAGAGCGACATAAAGGGCGAAGACGTAGAAGCGTTGCTGTGCGGGATCGAGGATATCCGAAGGAATCAGCGGGCCCGAGCCGGATTGTGCCGGGGCCTTGGGCAGATCTGGTAGCGACGCCCGTACATTTGGTCGTGGTGTAGTATTGGTGCTATTTGGGCTCTGGAAGCCAGGAGATCGGTTCGTGTTCGCCGGTGTTGATGGGAAGCCGCCTACGCCTCTCCGGACCGGTGTGCTGCTCATCGCACCAAGAGTTGACCTTTTTGCTGCTATATCGTATTCATCGGCTGAGAGAAGCTGTGAGATGGGACGTCGGCCAGGTTTGCGGGCGGAGCGCGGCCTTTGAGAGACGTGAAAGTCAAACAAACATTTGCTTGAAGCATACGCGACGGGTCGCGACAAGGATGCGGACTGCTTTGGCTGTGTGACCAATCAGAACACGATTACGCCGAGCTCAACGTCACGTGCCACTACCACGACAACTCCAGCTTGAACCACGGACATGCACCTTTCTCTCGACTCGTTTTCACTTTCACTGGCTGTACTCAAATTCACCGTCTGATTGTAACCTCTGTATTGTCTGAGTCGCACAGTAACCGTGCCATAAGTGCTGTGCATATCTTCCGTCACCATGTCCGTCAGCTTTCCTTTCCTCCAACCTCCGAACATACGCATACACACCAATCGTTCCAACTTCAGCCAGCAAATCGCTTGAAACTTGCACTTGATACCGTCCACCACCATGCCAGATCAGATTTCTCCCGAATCTGGAGCTGGCGCTAACGTCAACGAGCACACGCACGATCAAAGCAAAGAGCAAGCAGCCCCCAGCAAGATGCCAGCAAACTCTGCAAGCGATACAATTTCTTCAAGCGCTGAACAAGTCGAAGACACCCCTGCAACGAAGTCCACCGACGGTTCCACATGTCCAACTGCAACTCCCAAGGCCACCTCCCCGAACGCTAGGAAGCGAGGTGTCCCTGAGCCCTCTATAGAATCTGAACCCAGTAGCAAGAAGCACAAGGACTCTCCATCGCCATCATCCAGCGGACTGCCAGCAAACTCACGGTTCCCCAGTCCGCCGGATATGCCGGCCACTCCGTTCGACAAGAACACTTGGCAGGGATTTTGCGAAATCGAAAGCGAGCCTGCGTGCTTCAGCGTCATCCTCCGTGAGATGGGCGTTCAGGACATCACCGTCCGCGAGGTATTCAGCATGGATCAGGATTTCATTCTCGACAACATCCCGCAGCCAATCTACGGCTTCATTCTACTGTTCCACTACCGTGAGTTTGGCAACGACAACCAAGCCGACGAGTGCCCCAAGGACGTGTGGTTTGCGAATCAGCTCCCCGCCCAGAACAGCTGTGCCACTCTTGCTATGATCAACATCCTCATGAACCAGAGCGACGAGGTTGTCATCGGCGAGCACCTAGAGCAGTTCAAGGACTTCACCAACTACTTCACCCCGTACCAGCGCGGCGAGGCATTCGCAAGCTTCGACTTTGTCAAGAAGATCCACAACTCCTTCGCCAAGAAAATGGACATTCTCGAAGGCGACCGGCATCTCAGTTTCAGAGTCAAGCGCGCCGAACGCCTCAAGGCCCAACCGGCTACCGAGAAGACCAAGCCGAGCAAGAAAACCATCAAATCTGGACGCTCTTCCCCCGACTCAGTAGCATCCCACGATAGCAACAAGAGCATGGAGGGCAACGCACACCACTACATCGCCTTCGTGCCCGTCGGCAACCAAGTGTGGAAACTAGACGGCCTGGACAAGCAACCCACGCCCGTCGGATCCTTCGGCACCGACAACGGCGAAACATGGCTGGCCTCCGCATGCGCCACCATCTCCAACCTCATGGCCGCCGGCGATGACAACTACGGTGTCATCGCCCTGACACAATCGCCGCTGTGCTCCCTGCGTAACCGCGCCGGTCTCACCATCAACACCATCACCCACGTTGACACGCGCCTCGACCACCTCTCCGCCACGGGCACCGCTCCCGACTGGCACCAGCTCGTTGAAGAACACGAACAGCCGCCCAGTCCCCGCATGCTAGGCGTCGAGGCGAATGTAGTTGCTAACCCCGTCCAAGATAGTGTGAAGTCCGCCATCGCAAAGGAAGATATGCAGCAACTGCTTGTTCGTCGCAAGCAACTCATCCACCAAGCCAACAGTTTGGCGGAAAGTATAATGGTGGAGATGCAGAATGAGGCGGAAGAGGATGCGCAGGCCACACAGCGGCGGTACGACTCTGGTCCTGTTATCAAGAAGTGGTTGGAGATGTTGGCTGAGAATGGCTTCTTGGAGGAGAACCTAGAGAGGTTCATGCCGGGCGAAGGGAAGAAGTGAGTGTAGTCTGGAGGACCCTGGGTTGGCGTTGAGTAGCCTGGGAGTAGGTGATGAATATGTAAAGGACTACAGGATCATACAACAGCTTTACATCTATCAAGCGACATGTCCCTGAAGCACATCAAGAATAGCCATCAGCTCCGAATTTCCCGATAGTCAAGACACACAGGACCAACAACAGGCTTCGTAGTAAAAAAAAAGTGGTGATTTCCATATAATCATCTAAACCATAATCCCCCCAACGCCTTGCTCCTATTCATTCCAACCCCTATTCCAGACCTAATCATGAGGATACTCATCCCTCACATTACTCACAAAACAATGACTCGCCTCATCCCACCGCTTAAAGTGGCGACCCGCAAGTTTCAAAAGCGCCTCCGATGGACCCGTGTTCTCGTTGACTGGCTGTATATTCTCCGCAGCGACATACCTGACAGACTTGTCGCAAACCCTGGAGTAGTATCTCGTTAGCCCCAAGAACCCAGCCATCATGCAGGATAGAAAGCAACTTACAAAACATGATAGAAGGCCTGATTCCGCCCATCCGGCAAATTATCCACCCGCATATTCTGGATCCAATCCTCACTCTGATCACACGCAACATCCCAACCCGTAATAACGCCCTCGTACCTATACCTCTTATGCGTAAACAACTGACCAACCTTGAATGTGACTTTGTTCGTGCGCGTAGAGCGCGTAATCGCCGGTTTGCGCATAGCATCCACCTGCTGCATACTCTGTACGAACTGCAGCAAACGGTGGCCCTCGGGCTGGTTGTAGAACATGGGGATGACGTAGCGGGCCAGCAGAGTCACGTCCCAGGGGTAATGTACTTGGAAGTGTTCGAGGAGGTAGGGTAGGTATTGACGGCGGCGAGTGGCCGTGTGACCCAAGTGCGAGGTATCGTCTGTAGGTCCGAGGAGCAGCATAGCCCAGATAGTGGCGTAAAAGGCGTTGTCCATGTCGGGGTATGAGTTCATCCATGAAGCCTGTATGCGGCCCATTCCAGCTTCCGTATCGCGGATCATTTGGACGGAATTCATAATGTTGCGCGCTGTACGCAGCACCATTTCCCGCGTCGTCGTGTCACTGAGGAAACTGCGGTGTTCACTACTGGGCACGCCCATGTCGCGCAGCGTGCGCTGGAGATCACCCTGGCGGACCTCGGACGTGGAGCGGAATGGATCCAGGTACATGTACTCTCGTTCCGTGGAACTAGTCGGTCTGTATTCGCCGTTGAGGTTGTAGTTCTTGGGTGCGTAGACGAGCGTGTAGACGTGGAAGAGGAAACCACAGGGGCGAGCATCAAGGCCAACTAGTCGGGCTACGGCGCAGTATATAGCAACTGAAATGAGGGGAAGCGATTCGTGAGCCGCAGAGCGCAAAACGAGGCCAATGAATGAGTTCTTCAGCGCACGATACGACCGGTCGGGTACGCCGTTGAAGCCGCGTTCACGCAGATATGAGGCCAGTGTGGAAGCCTGTACCCGCGGACTCCAGTCACGAAAGAGGGGGTATTCTTCTAGCAATCCATTGGCAAGTGCACTGATATCGTCGGCGACAACATCGACGTCCACATCTTCTCCCACTCTTGCGAAGACATCGTATGCGCCCAGCGCGCGTTCTATCGGCACATCTTTACCGGCACCTAAATTCGACCACACCTTGATCGCGGCTTCTCGATGTATGCGCTCCAACACGGCATTGGCATAGTACCTTCTCGCCAGCACATCCTCGGCGTCGTCTGGACAGGCGCATTCCCGCAGTAAAACCTCTTTCGCGTCGTACCCAAAGTCAGCTATATCGTTGATATACCGTATGCGCTCTTGTTCAGTAGCCACGACGTGATTCAGCAAGTCGCGTGTACGGCGCTCAATCTTGTGCTTTCGGATATACAGCGCCCGCCAGTCGATATCCGACAGTGGACCCGCGAACTTGGCGGCGATGTTGTGGCGAGAATCCCATGTTTTGAAGCGCGTCTTGCAGAGGTGGCGCCACACAATCGGCGCATCGGCCGTGAGACGCTTGATCAGCCTGTTGGTCTGCGACACGGATACGAGCGAGTGAGGGTCGAGGTTGAGGAAGATGGCTTCAAGAATCTCCGTCGGGAGGGCTGTGAAGGAGGGGCGCTGCATCATAGGCGCGCCAGGGTTGCTTTAACTTTGATCGGTGGATATATTTCGGGCCTTGGATATGGAAATGGCTATCGTGACGAGCAGCGCTACCTGTTACCTTGATGGTGATGGCGGGTGGCTCAGTTGTCAGGGCTGCTAGCCATGGTTCAATCCGTGCCTTTACCCGTGATGAATTGCGTCAATGTCTGAGCCAATGATGATGATGATCGCATCGTTCGCTTATCAACCGGCCTCGGCATTCGGGGTGCGATAGTGCACCTCGAGGCTTGTACATCTGCACGGAACATTACCTAGCTTACTAACACACCCACCCCTGGTCCTGTCTCGACCACGATCGAATCGGACTAAACATGTTCGTATCGCGGCTTGGGTCATAGACATACGGACTACCATGTCGTCGGAATGTATGTAGACTTTGAAATATCCACAGCTGGACTTGGCTTCTCGGGCAAAACCCAGCTGACGGTGATCAAGTTGGGGCAGTTTGCACATTCATAAGTCCACTTGCCGATGTGCCTATACGGCTTCAGACTCGCTCATGCTCGGCCAGGCCGGCATCGAGCGGATATGACGGTCCGCCGACCAGGAACATTCGGACCTCGTGCGAACAAAGCGGTAGACGCAATGTACACCAACCGCCCATACAAGCCCCAGACCATGCAAAAATCTTTAGATGATGGTCCACATTTGGTCCGGATAGCTCGCATAACCGATCCGACGCTCGCTGCCCTCGTCCTCCGCTCCGCGAAGGTCATGCTCCGTCAGGCCCGCGGATCTGCAGCCACAGTTGATGTCACTGCTTGCCGCACCGCCGCATCGCATAGGGCAACATGGCGCCCTAGAATCGGGTGGATTATCCAACTACTGCACCATTACCACTCCTCTCCCTTCTTTTTTGGTCTCCCTACGCCGTTTCTACTCGTCCCATACATAGCCCACCATGGCCGACCTTAGCAGAGTTGAATCGATGCAGTATCCCGCGGGGCATCTCTCCCATCTTTCCGAGAATCAGCAGGCTCAGCTGGTCGAGTTCAAGAACATATGCCGCGATGCAGGCTACTACACTCCCGCAAGCGGCGGAAAGCAAGCTAGTCATGACGATGAGACGATGCTGTAAGCGCGAACACGATCTCTATTGCGACATGCGACATTAGCGAGGCACTGACTGCTTACAGGCGCTACCTGCGCGCACGTCGTTTTGTTCCTCGCGACGCCTTTAGGCAGTTCAAAGGCACGGAAGATTGGCGGAAAGAGAATAAACTAAACGAAATCTTCAACACCATTGATATCGAAGAGTATGAGCAAACGCGCCGCTTGGTAGAGAACCCTACAACCTTGCGCTGTCATCCTGTCTGACAGCCTTATGTAGTACCCGCAATGGCTTGGCCGACGCGACAAACGCGGAATTCCACTCTTTTTGTTCGAGGTCGCTCCCCTCAACTCCAAGAACATTTCCGCCTACGAAAAGCAACTCGCAAAGTCAAAGACCACGATCCCCAATGTCGCAAACAAGAACACTCGTCTGTTCGCCCTGTATGAGTCGCTCACAAACTTCTACACGCCCTTGTGCTCCATGGTTCCCCGCAGCTATCCAGAGACTCCCGTTTCGCAGAGTAACAACATTGTGGATATCAGCGGTGTGGGCTTGAAGCAGTTCTGGAACCTCAAGGGACACATGCAGGATGCATCGGTTCTGGCCACAGCACACTATCCCGAGACGCTCGACCGTATTTTTGTATGTCGCTGCTTTATTTTCTGAACAAGGGCAAGTGCTGACTTTGTTATAGATCGTCGGCGCACCGAGCTTCTTCCCGACTGTCTGGGGCTGGGTCAAACGCTGGTTTGATCCCATCACTGTCTCTAAGATCTTCATTCTCTCCCCGCAAAACGTCTACTCGACACTGTCTGCATACATTGATCACGACAACATCCCGAAGAAGTATGGTGGCGGTCTCGATTTCGAGTGGGGGCAGTTGCCGAATCTTGAACCAACCATCGAAGCACAGATCAAATGGGAGAACCCCAACACCCAGAACGGACGTAAGACGTTCCCGATTGGCCCACTCAAATGGGAACAAGGACCTGATGGGGAAATGCAAGCCTGGGGCATTGGTAGTGAGAACGGAGCTCAAAGGCGAAAGCTAATCTTCACCATCCCGAACCCCGTGGGCTACAACCAAACCGAGCCGATGCCACCCACGCCCATGGACCAAATCGGTGACCCTCTCACGAGTGTAGGAACAGCTACACACCCTCCCGACACCGACGACGTAGACATCGACACTCCACCTTCCGACACCGAGTCGCGCCCTTCGACGAGCTCACCACCCGTCTCGGTGAGCATGCCTATCCGCGCGGGAACATCCGAAGCAAATTTTGAGCAACAAAACCAGACTCACGCCTCAGGACAGCTCGCAAACGGGACACCAGACGCAGCAGTTGTCGACCATGGGCATGGAGACAAGACGATGACCATGGAGCCCAATACAGTTGGCCAGGCCCCTAAAGAGGTACCGCTCCCCGATCGCGAAGAACCCCCTGCCCCCGGTTACCTAGACCAAGCTAAACAAGCCGCTGCATCAGCTTCTGCCATAGTCTCATCGAGTGCTACTTCTGCTGCCGAAGCCGTTGCCGGCATGGTTGGGGCAAGTAAAAAGGAGGAGCCGATACAAGAGCCCGTGAAGGCAAAGAGTCCCGAAGAGGAGGAGATGGATAGGAGGATCGATGCGACGAGTGCAAAGGACATGGAAGCGTTTTTGAGGGAGCAGACGGCTACTAGGGGGCAGAAAGTCGGTTGAGGTAGGCCATGTACCGATTGGATCTTCGGTTGGAAAGTAGAGATAATCTTTGATACCACGATATTGACTACATACCTAGCTTTTGCCCAACTATGATGTTGCAAGAGAGATAATAATAGAAATGCTGGGTGCAGAATTAATGATGCTTTGCTGCCTTGCTACATCACTGCCCCACATACGCCGCAGTTCGCATCAGGAAGAAGTTCAAGCTGAATGGCCCAAACGTCTTCCGCTGTGAATACAGTTGATTGACTTGATTTCAATTCGAGTCTAATTCATCTACTTTTCCCGAGCCTCTCCCCTTCTCAGTGTCACCTCTGGGTCATGACTTTGTCCACTTCCATGCCGCACACTCAAAGTTGGCATAACATCTGAACTCATTGCTCAGTCCTTTAGCATGCTTGATTTCATAGTCTGTAGTCTTTGCACCGGCCTTTCCATAAAGCTTGTCAGTGACCAGGCTCTCCATACGCTCTCCGGTGCACACAACTAGGCGTAGAGAGTCCTGCGTCCATGATTTGGCTAGCCACCTTACGGTCAGAGCAGCTGTGCATAATTAGCATACTTCTTCGATATCCACGGTTGACTGTAACATGCCCTTCGTTTGACAATCCTGACTAAGGAATGGCGGATCGCAAATAATGACGTCGAATGCACCCTTCATTTCAGCCGGTAGTTGAATTGCCTTCTCAAAGTCGTACCGGACAAATTCCTTGAAGACAGCAAAACGGTCGTCAAACTCCAGCAACTTGATCTGTGGCCGGCACTTGACCTCGCCAGAATTCTGACTCGTTTAGTATGCCATGTTACCACTTCCCCGTACTACTTACTTACAAGCAGGTTCTTGAGTTGGATAAACGCACTCGGCGCAGACACCACCGCTATACATGTTTCATCCGTTGCGCCATCCAATAGCTGTCGTGCAAGTACCGTAGCCGTCTCATCACTGTACCAGAATTGGCTTGCATTCCAGTCTTCTGTAAACGCATCCATTGAGAGTTTCCCTTCAAAGTCATCCTCGGCTTTGCCTTTTAGCTCTTCAAACTGCTTTTGTCGTGCATCTCGCTCGCCGTAAAACTCTTTCAGCGCGGCTAGGGCGTCACCAGAAAGCTGTCTTTGAGATTTAGTATTTTCCAAGAAGGGTTATTCTGGCAACTTACGGTATCTCGTCGTCACCTTCGACTAGAGCCATGTCGTCTGTTCGTGAATTTATTGTCGCAAGGCGTTCCTGAACAGTCACAGTCCGATTAAATCGCATCCCACTTGTCGAGTTATCGATAAGCACATGCCTCGGTAACTTGGACGAGCTGCAACCTAAGTAGCAGTCATCATGCGCCCTCGATTACCAAACCTCAAGCTTTTATCGACTTTTACTTCACGTCGACTATATGCAAATATGGTAGAGGCTTTGGTACCACTCCCTGAGATTGAGAAACTGAGCGATCGGGTAATAAGAGTGCTTGGTGGCAATCCGAGCAAGGTAAGCGTCATCGTCGCCGATTGAACACAGCCCGTCTCCTAACAAAAACTCCAAGTTCACGCTACAAGGTTTACGTCTCGCCATCTCTCACAAATCAACATGGATTAAAACAACCTAGGCACAAACACATACATCGTCGGCCGCGGACTATCCCGCCTCCTCATCGACAGCGGCGAGGGCAAACCCCAATGGATAGCCTCAATCAAGACCCTCCTTTCCACCGAAAACATCACCATCGACAAGCTCCTCCTCACGCACTGGCATCCCGACCACATCGGCGGTGTTTCCGATCTGCTCTCCCACTCGCCCGACACGCAAGTCTACAAAAACGAACCCCATGGCGCCTGGCACCCCATAACCGACGGGCAGAAGTTTGAAACCCAAGGCGCGACATTGCGCGCGTTCCACTGCCCCGGCCACACAACCGACCACATGGCCTTTGTGCTAGAAGAAGAAGACGCAATGTTCACTGCCGACAACGTGCTCGGACAAGGCACAGCCGTCTTCGAGGACCTGACCGCCTACATGAAGAGTCTAGACGCCATGTCTTCGCAATTCAAAGGGCGCGCGTATCCAGGTCATGGACCCGTCATTCCAGACGGTCCAGCCAAGATTGCAGAGTACATTACGCATAGGAATCAGCGCGAACAGCAGGTTCTAGATGTACTGGCAGCGAACGAAGGAGTTGAGATGGGGTCAATGGATATTGTTAAAGTCATTTACAAGGATTATCCTGAGAATCTCTGGGAGCCGGCGGAGAGGGGGATTCGCCAGATTTTAGAGAAATTGAAGCGAGAGGGGAGGTTTGAGCAACCGCAGGGTGATTTGGGTGGTGGTGGTGGTGGTGGTGCTGGTAAGGCTAGTCTTTAGTTGAGTTGGAATGACGTAATGAAATTAGCGCTACAACATCTGATGTTGCCCCACATAGTCTGTTTTATGGTGCGGTCCGAAATCCTCTTGCACGAACAATCTTAAATCAACTATATATTTAATGTAAAACATATGTCTTTCATCCAATTATCTGACATTGTGCCAGAGTGGTTAATGGGTTAGACTTGAATTATCACATTCATGTCATCTAATGGCTTCGGCCTCGCAAGTTCGAATCTTGTCAATGTCGCAACCGCTCTATCCAATGGCTCTGTTTCAGAGTCGTCTGATCTTTTTTTTGCACTTTTGTTTGTCGGGTCCCGATCGATGTGGGGTTCGGGTTTCTTTTTGCAACGCACGCATCATTCGGCTGATGCAGGCAACTGCAACCTTTTCTTAGGTGCCTGCTGGCTTACATTAACGGTAGTGGTGGTAGGCTTCTCGCACTCCGCTATCCCCACTACTCACTCCACTACTATATTCTCTTGCTGTATCGCTGATATTCCTCATTATCTATCGCACACATCATGCTGAAGCTTTCCTCGCATGCAACTTCCTCGCAAGGAGGCGACGTGATTATCAGGTGAGCCATAGTGGGTGGCGCTCGTATTCTACCTACGTACCGGTACGTAGTGCTTACCTCGCTGCAGCAGAACATCTCCACGTGCCATCTCTATGCCCAATACCGTTCGCCCAGGATGACGGCACAGTCGTCATAGTTGTTGTTACAAGAATAGCATCCGTCCCCAATTTACCGCAAGCTAAACCGAGATGAGATGTGAAATTAGACAACTAACTACCGTAAATGGTGCCGGCTTACACCCGCACCCGTCGTTCGCGCTACCCGGAGCAGTGGTGATCACACACTTGGTGGACCTTGATGCTTGTGGAAGGGCGCACGGCGTTCGTTCGTACGGGATGGACCATATGGTTTCACGGCACTTGGGCTTACTTACGTGGTCCCGGCTGATCCTGGGTGATCCTTTGGTGTTCTGCTGTCGAACTCGGACGGAATAACACAGTCAGGATAGCCTAAATAGTTTCATGCTCTCATACGAGTGCTGTCACGGCTATCCTGTACGATACAGAAAATACAAAGAGGTGTGTGTGTGGTGTAGCCAGCCAATCCGTTACAACCCAAGCACCACTCTGCAATATCCTGAGTCAATATGTCGATTTCCCTCCACACTCACACAAAGAAACCATACACATCAAAGCCAAAGGGCGCACAACCAAGAAGAGTAGGTCTGTCGACTTTCCTATCTATAACCTCAAGGCTGTCAGTCGTACGACAATCCTACGTATCTGCCGCGATACCAGATAAGTAGCTGAGTGTAAGCACTAACCCTTTTACCCAAGTCTAGTGTAACAGCCTTGAGGTAGAAGCCACGAGTAGGGAGCAGCCTTATATATTAAACCCTATTTTGTATGGTATAGTCGACCCCAACGAGGCTGAGTCATATCTACTGTGGGAGGCTGAGTCGTATCTACTATGGCACAGTCGACCCGAAGAGGCCCCCGGAAATACCGCATCTGGAAGGGGTTGAAAGGGTATGTTGACGTAGTTCATTCGTGGTCGAAGAGTCGTCTGGCTTGTAGCTTGAAAATGTAGTTTATAGATCTCTCTATGTTAATTCCTGGTCTGGATAGCGCCTATTGCGTGGTTGGGACCGCTTGCATGTCTTCTCGGAGTTGTTGCCTTGCGTACAGCACGAATAGTTTGCCACTGTTACAACTACCATTCCAAACGCCCCTGTGCTCTCGGACTTGCGCTTGATTTCTGGACTGAATAAAACTGTTTGAATTGGCGGGCCGTTGCTTATTGCGCGAGATGTGATTGTACTACTGTTTTCTTCTGTACTTGCGGTTGGCATAAGCTATGAGCCAAGCTGGTAGTAACCCGGCCCGTTCACGAGGTCAATAAGACTTGGATTCTTGTTATCTGACTAACACGAATCTGTCTAGATAGGATTTAGTACTGAACTAAAATGACTTTCGCTACACTTGCTAGTAACTGCGGGATGTGACGACAGCATAAACTGGGCAATGGAATTGCCTGAAGAAGGCGAAGTTTGGAAGATCAAAGTCTGTACACTATAGATAACCTCTATCTATCTAGTTTGGAAGGGCCGATTACAGTACTATAAGCCGTCTTGGCTGGATTACGATATGTATAGAAGGATATTCGGGCCCCACGGGTTTCGAAAGTTCGTAGCAACTAGTCTAGCGTGAACTAGCCATATGCTCTAGGAGAGATTACGGACGTGAAATGAAGATCAATGTTTGCTATAGATTACTTCTGTCATTGATCATGAAATTACAGGGCATTCAGACGAATCAAACAGTGGAAAGAAGACCGGTGTCAAGAAAAAGAACAAAATAGTATTGTAATCAGGTGAGAGATATTGATAAGAGCACCCTTGTACAACACCCCCACAGCTAGAAACCCAAACCTCCTTGGCCAATCTTTGGCCACTAGACCCATATCAAGCCTACTGGCGACCGAAGCAGGTGGAGTCACCGGCACCGTTCTGCAAGCACTCGTTGTAAAAGGCCGTTCCATCAACAAAGCCCTTTTTGGCATATGCCTACAACCAAGGTGAGTCACGCGCTAAACGTATAGACAGGGGGGGCACCTACATAGAAGCCGGTGAAATGAGCGCCATATTTGAATCGTGGAGTCTCGACGATATCTACCGATTGTAAGCCCCCACCTCAATCATCATCATCATCATCATCCGAAGCTGTGGGGGAAGAACTAACCCAATTCCCAGCGGTCCTTGTTGAAGCCCACCACGCGGGCTGTGGCGTCAGAGTCGATACCAGTGTGTCCACCGACTTGGCAGGCGCAGTGAGTGTACCGGGCGCGCTTAGTAAGCGAACGGGGCTCGTTGGCAATCTCTGAGCCCGAAACTGCTACCTCGGCCTCAAAGGGCAGAGCAGCTGCTGTTCCCAGGCTACAACACAGGCGGGTTAGAATGGAACGTCTTTTCGTCAAGAGGAGAGTGGACTGTACTTGAAAAGGGACGCCGCAGCGAGAGCGATGGTAACAGTGGAGAATTGCATGATGAAGATGGGTGGTGTTTGAGCTGAAAAGCTTGAAGATTGAGTGAATAAGCGATGTGGAAGTGTGAGAGTGAAGTGTGTGTGATGATGGGTTTCACAGCTGGGAAACCGTGGTCCTTTTATCTCCATTCTTGTTCTCTTCACGATGGCCAAGGTGGCAGCGAGACAAGCTTGCTCCTTCGCATATTTTCACTACTATAGGCTTGTAGCGTTGTAGATCTTGCCATGAGCTGGTGGTGATGAAGCCACCTTCGTAGCATCAAAGGTTATTCCGCGAGACAGAAGTCTGCGTCTGTATCTCGTGGCAAGGGTTGTGGTATTCAGGTGGACCGTATTGTGGGTCCTACCATAAATAGTCAGTTTACACCCGCCACAGTTACCTTTGTTGTTGTTTTCTCTTACAATAAAATCCGTGGAACTGGTTCATCATATACTACCCCTCTCTGTATCAGGAGATGAGGGGCTTAGTTCATTTCGACCTCTACCTTATGCAGGGGAAGAGTGACAATACACCCATGAAACGGATAGCTTCGTTGGACAAACATGATAGTAATGTCTCCGTAGTTTTTGTTTTGATTTGTGTGATTACATCGGTGCAGCACCCCGTGAGACGTTTGCTCTCGGAATACTATCCATCTCTCTGTTTCAGCTACTTGGAAGAAGAACAGATGCGGGGAACTTCTCGTATCTCCAACATCAACCGTAGCTTTGAGACTATCACCTGTTTCTCTTCCATGTTCTCTCACCCTATCAGGAGATGATAGACTTTGTTACGACATCTATTCTCGCTATACTGTCCATATTTTGGTCACAGTTATCTGTCAGAAGGATAGACTCGGAGATTTTCTCGTACCCATAATAGAACCGTAGCTAAAGGACTTCGTATCTTGATTCTGTTCCATGTGCCCAGAGATGTCAACAAGCAAGTCAAGCTGACCGTGATTCTTATCGATTGCAGATCACAGACAATATAGAGGCTCGTGCACAGTGGCACGTCCCAGAGAATGGTCTGTGATCTGCAATCGATAAGAATCAAGCCAGCTTGACTTGCTTGTTGACATCTCTGCATGTGCCCCCACTGTATTAGGATATGATAGACTTATCTGAAACATTCATTCTCGCCATACTGTCCATGTTCAGGTTACAGTTGCTTAGAAGAAGGAAAGACTCGGAGATTTTCTCGTCCCTATACTATTAACCGTTGTTGGGAGACTCTGTATCCTATTTCTCCTCCCTGTTACCTCCCTCTATCAGGCGATGATAGGCATTTGACCTCGCAATACTGTCCATGTTCGGTGGTTCTGATATCCAAGTGACAAGTCAAAGTGCCGAAAACATGATGGAATTAGCCTGTTACCTCATCTGTGTTCGACTTGGGGATGAGAAGGAATGCATATAAGTACTAGACGACATATCTCTTTAACACCCATCATCAACACTTTCAAGCTCTATCTGCAGCGCACTTCTTCACTTACTACCCAAATCTTTTCGCTTTACTACCATCCTCTACCACCATCATGGTCTGCATCCAACTCCTCACTGTTACCTTGGGCCTTGCACTTGGTGCTCAAGCCGCCAACGCCGCCCTCTCTGCAACGGTTTCATCCCATACTGGTTCACTGTGGGAAACAGCGTGGCCCATGATGCAAGCCCAGATGCCCGGCATCGACTGCAAACTGTCGTCCACCGGGTGGAACACAACTGCCAAGAAGCATGACTCCTGCGACTACATTGAGAGCAAGCTCCTGAAAATCTTCCCTGGTATCCATTGCACCGGTCAGCTCGACGAAGCCGCCCTTCTCAAAAGCCTCGAAAACATCCCCGTTGCCGCCGTCCAGCGCCGCGAGACTGCGCTTGAACGCCGAAGCACGGCCATCGATGCCGCAATCGACAGGGATCTCAAGTCTAAAGAGCGGCAGATCAATCAGCAAAAGGTTAATTTTATTCAGGGTTGCAAGGACGCTCCCCATCCTGGAAACTGCTACACATGTGTTGCTGCTGCTGTTGGTCAAGCCCTGGGAAATGGAAGCAAGTGTGTCGTAGCAGCACATATTGCTTTGAAAGCCCTAAATGCCAGACAGGGTGAGATTTTGGCTAGTTACGCTGCATGTGCGGCTGGCATTGTTGGAGATTTGGGCGCCTCAGCTGCTGGATGCCCACTCAGGGTGAGTCACAACTTTTGTTTGTCTCTTCTTCGCTTTGAATATAAACTAATGATCGCATCTTCTAGTAAACCAAAGCAGTCAAACATCTGTCTCTAGCCTACGACTCTATTTGTTACGTGACATGAGGTGATTGAAACGGTATGAGGCAGTCGCTGGAGAAAGGGGGAGTGGAGGGGTTAAGATATGTTTCTTTCTTTGTTAGGGACCTGGGAGTAGTTGGACTTGAATGCCATGATTGATTGTGTGTGAAAGCTGATGTTGATGGCTTGATGGCGTGTGATAGTCTCCAATGGCATATTGCGGTTCGTGCAGACAGCTACCCCACATTCCGTTGGTCGACCCCACCTTGTCCTGAAGCTTCGTGCTGCGTCATCTTCTTTACTTCCGAGGTCCCCGAACCAAAGTACCATTCAGCCAACCACCATCCCCATCGACGAGTACTGCAATGGCCTCTACGTGCATTTTCTGCAAGATCATCAAGGGCAAGTTGTACTTTGACTAGCCGAATACGGCCTACGCAACACGGCCTACTGACAAGTTGGTGTAGGGGACATCCCCTCGATGAAGATCTACGAGAGCATGAAGACGCTTGCGTTCCTTGATATCGGACCATTGAGCAAGGGACACTCTGTGCGTAGTCCTGTTTGATGTCCAGCTTTATATCCAAGCTGATGGTGGCTAGCTCATCATCCCCAAATTTCACGGTGCGAAGCTCCACGACATACCTGATGACCAGCTCGCCGAAGTCCTATCCGTTACAAAGCGCATCGCCATGGCCCAAAACCTCGAGGACTACAACATCCTACAGAACAATGGCAGGATCGCACATCAGGAAGTGGACCATGTGCATTTCCACTTGATCCCGAAACCGAATAAGGAGGAAGGACTGGGCATCGATTGGCCGACAAAGAAGATGGAACATGAAGAGCTGAGCAAGTTGTTGGAGGATATCAAGAGTAAGATGTAGGGAACATCAGTCATGTATCATATGACCATGTCTATAGCACAGCATCTCGCTTAGCTAGAATCTCATCCGGCACTACCAGTCCTATCTTCCATTACTCTCCTTTGAAGACAGGTTTTCGCTTCTCTCTAAAAGCAAGTAATGCCTCATCCCGATCCTTGGTCTTGACTACAATATCGTATGCAGCGTTCTCCGCCTGCTCTCCCAATGCGCACCCCTCCACGGCCGCCAGCGCAGCCTTGATAGCTATCGGACCACCTTCGCATATCTCTCTTGCTAACCTTATCGCCTCGTCCAGCACCTTCTTCCGCGGCGCGCCTTCCTGCTTTGCATCATCGGCGGTTATCTCGACCAAGCGGTCGCACAAGCCGAGGAAGTAAGCCTCTGGCGCAGCCACGCGTCGACCTGTGAGGATCAAGTCTCTTGCGCGAGCGAGACCAATCAGGGCAGGCAGACGATATGTTCCTCCTGCGCCAGGAAGAATTGCAAGTCGTGTTTCGGGAAGGGCGACGGTAGTGGACGAGGCGAAGATGCGCAGATGCGTCGTAAGGGCTAGTTCAAGGCCACCACCGAAGGCCGGAGCTGCGAGAGCAGATATGGTGGGAATGGGAAGCTGGGAAATGGATGCAAACGTGCCTCGTAACGAAGAGAGGAAGTTTGCCGTGCTGCAGTCGCTTGTTAGTCGCTCTTTCCCCCGAATTGGTAATTTGGAAGGTGCAGGTGGTGGTGCACCCACTCTTCTGGCGTGAACGTCGCTCTCTCCTTCAAATCTGCGCCTGCGCAGAAACTCGAATCCACCTCACTCGCCAATATCAACGCCCTCGTCGACCCATTGTCTCCTTCATCGAGAATGCTGTTGACCTGGTGGCTTAGCTCGGCAAGCAATTGTCGGGATATCGCATTCCGTGCTGCTGGCCTGTTCAAGGAAAGGATCCGTATGCTTCCGCAGTGCGGCGCCGGCACATTTGTGACGCTGATCGCAGGCGCAGATGCGGTTGCATAGGTGCGCGCCTGGAGGGCGTGGCCGAAGATGCGGCGGTGTGTTGGGCCTAGGAGCAACATTCTAGCGACTCCAGCGGCCATGTCTTGTTCCTACCACTCTATTTTCGCTCTTCTTTCCTAACCTCACTTACGGTTGTGTTCTGTATGTTTTGTCACGGTCAGGTGGACGCTGGAGTCGCCATACCTACTCTACGCGACGTTAGCCGAGCCAGTCCCCGGACAAAGTTGAACCGAAAACCCGACTTCGACCTGACAATCCGATGATCAGACAGCTTCTCAGACAGCCATTGCACATTGTACCAGCTGTACACATGTTTAGAACAATGTGGCGTCGTATTCAATGAGAGCAGTACTTCTTAACAAGCACCTTCTGACATTGAATCTCACTCAACAGATCTCACAATTGCTCGCCCTACTCCATACCTCCACATCATCATATTGTACCCCCGCAGCCAAGCATTTTAGCCAAGACATTACATAGTCGTCTTGATGCGCTACAACCAGAGATAGAAAGATTGGTCGTTTTGCGCCGGTCCCCAAGCCCTCGAGATATGCAACCGGGATGGAAGAAACAACACCGAAACGTCAATCTAGCGCACTCATGCGTACGGGCGGGAATAGACTTCCGTGTACCTTCGCAGGGTCATGTCATCCATTGTCACCTGTCACACGAATTATGCCTTCTGGTTTCACTCGCTATCAATCACCAACCACACTTTCGTCTATCCTTTGGCCTCGCGGACTAGGCCCGCACCAAAGTTCGTATCACGTGTCGTACTGTGCAGTCGCAGTACGATTGAGCTCGGTATTGTTGCAAGTTTAGGGGTTCGGCAGTGCCAGCTCAACACCTAGAACACGATAGATCGACACTTTCGTACATTTAACATTGCCATTGAGCTTACGGTACTGCCGCCACCAACACCCGCCATTTCGATAGTCTTGACGCCATCTCGATTTTATGTAGGTTGGCGATGAGTTGGCCAGCCTTAGACCGCTTGATGCCTTATCTCGCATCTCGTCATGGACTATGTGCACCACAGACTTGTGGTAGATGCGACTCTCGAGCTTGCTTAGGGCCCGTGTTGACATCTTGAAATTAGCTTTACCCGCCGTAGAAAGGCTCAAACCTACACACCGAACCTACACACCTTCCAGAAGGTTACTACATTCGCCCGCTCTCTTAGCCTCATCTATCCGTACCGGTACGGCATACAAAGCTCGACCCCGGCGTTGGAGGTTCGGCGCACGGTTGCGATGCAAAACTCTGTCCAATGACCCCTGACGCATTGAGAGTCTGGGCGCTACTCCTGGAGCCAAAATTATGCACCATGTCACCCATAGTGGCTGGTTGGATCGGCGCACGGGGAATTTTGATGTTCAGAGGTCCTCGTTGATCGTGGACCCTGCACGTCATCCAGTAGCTCCCCCAAGATTGCTTTTAGCGGGTGACCAATCGTGTTTTTTAGATCATGGGGTAAGGCTCCGAATGATTTGCACGGCACTCACTTAATCTAGACGGTAGTGTACGCACTTCGCCCCTTCCATGGCTAGCGCACGATCTGATATTAGCTGTTTGCAAGCATGATGCCAGCGAGGTTGGAGAAATCGCTTGCCCTTGAGTGGGTTTCGCTTCTCGTACATTCGCTGCCGGGAACCTGATCCACCATCCGTCGCGACCAGGACAAGGAACCCGAGGATATGCTATTCGTGTTACCGCCGCTACAGTCTCAAGATCCAAGTCAATACGCAAGAGGCGGCTGGAAGCCGGGGGATGACTAGATCGCTGGTGCCGGTAATTTGTCATGGTACAAGATCAATGGCTTTCGCTGGCTTCTTGCTGATCGTGTAGCATGCTTCTTACGTATACAGTATATCTTCTTTAGGTCACCTGCCGCATCTCCATGCCCATTCCAAGATGCCTTATGACGAACCGGTCCTAATCCCAACACTTACTGGCAGTCTTCTCTCTTGTGTAGCAACCGCTTGTGTCCTCATATCCTACATTGTATACGCAAAGCAACAACAATCCTTCCGCCACGCACTTGTTCTAAACCTTTCTCTAGCAGGTAGGGGCCCAGTCAAACACGTCGAGTTCGAGCTAACCGCCACTCTAGAATTCATCAACTCGCTGAACAACTCCATCTCCGGCCTCTATGTTTTGACCCATGGCAAGACCTCACCAGGCCTGGCCTGTACCGTTAACGGCTGGGTGGGGCAGTGGTCCGTACAGGTGAGTGACATCATACCGTGCTTCTGGTATGACAGAGCCAAGTCGCTAACAATGTCCAGGCCGCTGACTTCTCTATCCTCGCCATTGCCATCATTACGCTTCTGACCATCACACGGACGACATACATGCCTAACACATGTCTTGTCAAGAAGATTCTCATTTGCGCCTCTGTATGGTTCATTCCCACAACCACAGGTAAGTCCATGCAAGCGCAATGTACTAGCAGCGCTGATTCAGTGCGCAGCATCCATAGCAGCAGGCCTAGACCAATTGAAACCTGTTAGCGGCAATTGGTGCTGGATATCAGGCGCAGAGCCCGAATTACGCTATGCACTGGGCCACGCATGGCGCTTCTCCATCATGCTCGCCACCATTGGCATTTACATCTACATCTGGGTATACATGGGCAAGCACTACAAGACGCTGCACCTAGTCTCAGCCGGAGAGACGTACACCCACCACAGTACCGTTCACCACCGCCAGGCCAGCCAAGATGATGCTGTCGAACAAAGAAGCGAATCTCAGATGGAGTTGCGACAAATCCATGTTGAACACCAGGTCGATGTCGACTGTACAGAAGGAGGACCTGCTCAATCACCAGCGACGGATATCGAATCAGGTGGCTGTCAGAAATGTTGCACGACAGTGTCCGTGACATCGGAGACTGACCCATACTCCAAGGACACACTAGGTACGTCCCGCCATCCCTGTCTCTACCGTTATCCTCAATACTAACTCTCCCCCAGAAAATAAATTAAACGTTCTATCTTCGGGAAAACACGATACCCCCCCCAACGACGCTCGTACAACACAAGCCAGTAATCCCAGCCGCGTCTCAAGCCAATCCCGCAACGTTGAGCGCGAAATCAAGCGAATGCTCCTCTTGAACGCATACCCCATACTCTACATTATCCTCTGGATGCCGGGTATGCTTAACCGCTTGGTCGAAGCATCCGGCCACAAGAGTAGGGCGTTGACTGTTATGCAATGCTCAACCCAGTATATCGGCCTTGCTAATGCCATTACGTATGGCTTGAATAAGCAGGTGCGGAAGTTGGTGATGAAAGATGTGAATAGAATATTTAGAAAAAAATGAAAAATGAAAAACATACTAGACAAGCCCCATCTTCGCACACCCCAGACTTGGTACCTGAGCCGCCCTTACCTCTACCCGCACCCTTTGGTACCTGAGTGGGCCGTATCGCGCGACTCAAACTCAAGTGTATGGATGTAATACGGCATTGGTGTACTTACTAGCAGGCAGAGATGTCAACAAGCAAGTCAAGCTGGCTTGTTGACATCTCTGCTAGCAGGGCGCGATTCAATTTTACCTACACTTGAATCGCGTCGCTAAATTGGGATCCAGATCTATGGTAGATGCCGTGTGGCGTAGTTACTCTACTAACGCAGCGGCTTAACCTCCGTCTTAGTCAAGTTAGTCCAGGTCCGACTTGATGGTACCGGTACTTCTCGTATCCTCTCCCACACCATGTTGTTTTCGCCAAATCTACTCGATGATATTTCGGCACATGAGATAGAGTTTTTGAGTAGAGTTTCTTGGTGGAGAAGAGGAGAGGTAGTACCGGTTTTATGGTTTGACGTTGGCGTGGGTGTGAGATTATGAGGGTACTATATGTGAGTACTACTCAGGTGTCGTTCGTATCTTTACGGTAGTTATTACTGCTCACGCACCTGATCGGAGATACTACATGAGTTTTGACCGACGCGGCGCACATGGCTCGAGCTGCGTGTGTGCTGCCGCTGCCGCCGCCGCCGTCGCCGTCGCAAAGGATCTAGACTCTGGTCTCAACGACAGCTCATCTGACGAAGAAAGTGGACTGCGGCCTTCTTGGTATAGACCGGCGGTATGTTAATTACAGATCCCCAAAGCTTTCGTTTGCATGTATGTTCCGACGAGCTGCTTCTGAGTCTCTTGCTTATAGAGGACGTGTACGCTCTTGGAGAAGGAGGAGGGTTATGCGGCGACAAAGAATTTTGCGAGGTTAAGGACATGAGAATAATCGGTTGGCTCAGGGGGCTAGAGTAGAGTCAGATGTGTGTCAAAATTGGTTATCTGGATGGATTTGGTGGGCTAAAGGGCGGAGGTTGTGTGCGCATATCCTTTTGTAACACACGAAGTTGGTGAGATATGTTGTGCAACATCACATATCCACATCTTACTCTCCTCCAATCTCTCAGAGGCAGACCGCCAGTTCCTACTTATAACTCTGTTTTAAGTCATTTTGACATGGCCCCTATATCGTTAGCTATTCTTCCTTTTGTCTTCTGTATTCCTTCACTTCTGTTGTCAGTCACCTCGGTTGCACGGTGCGGTTAGTGTGGGAAAGAAGTGTTGAAGAGAGACATCGTATTGACTGTTGCTTGAGGTACTTGCGCGCCAACTGCTGCTTGCTGTAATGAGACGCCGGATACACATCGATAGGGTACCATGGAGTTGCCTTTCTTTTTCTGCCCGTTACCGAAACCTAAATGGATCATCAAGCCCTGGAGATCCACAAAGTTCCGTGCCACAGTACGTGCTTTCATTCCCATCATACGACCTCTCACCTCCGAGTGCAGCTGCCGCCATTTCGTGAGCCATTATCAATGCAGCATTTGTTAAATTCTTCCCTGGTAGTGGGCCATGGGGGATTTTCTTTGTAGCGACAGTAGCCTGCACCGTCTGCATTCCAAGCAGGGTTCGAAGAACCATGTCTTCTGACACAACAAGCCGCTCCTGTCTTGTAATCGTTCAAGCCACTCCTTATATCGATGCAATAGCAGCCGACAGATGCCTAGAGAGTTATCGTTAGGTTATGACTGGCTCGCACTTACGAATCCGGAAACTTACGCGGGCAATGCCAGCAAAGAACAGGCCACTGGCTAGCAGAGTGAACTTCATGTTGAAATCGATTGGCTTGTGATGGTAATGTTGAAGGATGCGTCGAAAGGGGTGAAAATATGGAAAGAGTGTCCAAAATGTGTGGAAAGAGCTATACTTCTGTAGAGGTAGAATCGACGAGGTCAAACCCTAAAGCACCGGCACGGGCTTACTATAGTAAGCCCCCGCACTCCCTCGGACATGCAGACATACTCCTACCACCTAAGGTTCGGAAACCAAATCTCACGTCAGCTCCTACCTACAGAGCACGGTTCCAAAAGAGGAGGACATTTGTTCCACTAATAGACTAGCTGCCGCAATTCAAATTCATCCAACATCTTCGGTCATCCGGGAGTTTTGATATCGCGACCACCCAACCGGTCCGCAGACCATCCAGCTACCGCGTCCGGATACACTGACTTCCCGTGGTCACAACCCGTCCCAGTGTCGCATGCGACGGTCCAGGACGATCATGTTGTTGTTGATTGTTCACCCACATATCGTCGCCGGAATCACCTCCTTCTCTAAGAGCAGTAAGATGAGCTACTCTACCAAACTCAATGCAATTCTTCATACCAACACCAGCTCTACAGCACCGACAGCAGTACTACAGACTCGCGGTCCGAAAAAGTCTCTTCGGTCAATCCGCTCGGCCTTATCGGCGCTGCATCGCGCTAGGGCGTCTTGCTATTAATCTCTTTGATGATGTTGCATTGGGGGATTAACGGTCGCTCGCTCAGAGCTTGGCGGAGGACTAATTGCCGCACGCGTTTAATCCCGTCGCCCATTAATGATAGGGGCTACACTCAAGGAGCAATCGTACAGGTATACTGTAGTTGTATTGACAGAGAGCTAAGCTCTAGGCTACGTGGCTATCTATATATACCCAGACATGTCAACAATCCGTCAGTTTCCGGTTAACGGATTGTTCAGCCTGACACGTGATCAGTTCGTTCAATTCAAGCCGAACCACCTAAATTTTGCAGGCCGTTCAAGCCGAGGGTGAAGGCCTGATTGAATGGCCTGAAAGGCCTGATAGTTTGTAATCTTAGAGTGCTTAATTGTGTTTAACAGTTGTTTAGGGATTATTTAAAGTTAGAAACTTCTAGTGTTGTAATTTAATTTGTAAGCCTCTTTTTGTAGGAAGTAATTAACCCCACTTTTACGGTAACGCCTACTAGTAAATGCGTCTTTATATGCGAGCAACCCACGATTTTTTCCTCTATTTGTCCCCTAACGCCGCTATGTCGCACCCTAAGCGCACGACCAAACTAACTAAAAAGGTTAGGCAAGCCTAGCTTGGCTTCGCAACACCAGAAAATCGCCTAACAAAGCGCGCGCGGGTAGCTACACCAACAACGCTAGCGCGTTAAGCACCACCTGCATTATCAATGCCTGCGCCAACGCGCCTGTCCTCCCCACGCGCGCTGCTTGCTACTAGCTAGCAGGGGAGTCAACCGCTATCTAAGGATAACGCGTTCGACCTTGAGCTGCGTGAATCGTAGTTAGAGGAGGCTATTGTTGCACCTACCGCCGTCTCGCGCGCTCCTACAGTCGCTTTAGCTAATAACAACAGCACAGTAGAGCAGGAGCTGGCGGTAGAGTTTAACACGCGTTTTGCTGACAACTTCGATAATATTATTTAGCTAAGGCTGCCTAGTTGTCAGATTGAGGCGAGGTTTTGCTCCATGATCGAGCCGATGGTGGTTGGGGAAGGACATGAGACCCCCAAACCAGGGCTAGCGCCGGGACTTAGCACTGCCAAGCCCGAGGCGAGGCCACCTCCCACAGACAGAGCCGTAGACAGAGACAGACAATACACACTTGATCCCATCCATAAAAATCTGACAATTAAGAGTCTCACTGCCTGTACCGAGTACAGAAGAGTTAATTAAAGTTACTTTATACTATAAATAACATGTTTTATAACACACAGACAACTTCGAGTTTTTCCGAACACGTGAAACTCCATCAGAAACCAACTATATCCATCGAAAGAAATAGATTCCGACTACTCCCAAGCCGTGCAGCCGCGTGGTTGTGGAGATACAAGGAGTCTAGTACCCCAAACGCGACGCGTCCGAACTTTCAGAAGCAAACGCACAGACCAAGCCAAGAAACAACAACAACAAGACAACAGAGAGGCTAAAATGGCCCCAGATAGCGACACTATCGTAGTCCAGCTACCAGAAGACCTCCGGACCCCAAGCATACTGGACGACGAAATGGAGACCGACGAAAGGCACCAAGACAACCCAACAACACCCATCGAGCAGACCACCTGTGAACGGTCTGTAGGTACTGTATTCCAGCTACCTAATCCAGATGCTATTTACAGTCGAGATGAAGAGAAGAAGAGGAAGTGGGCGGCCATCCCGCTTTGTTTGGGTTGGCGCGCGGCGCACGGTGCACGGGCTGCTGGGGGAAGGAGTGATAGAAGGAAGGAAGCGACTAGGCCAGCGGCCTAGTCATGTGACCTAGGGCTCAGCCCGTTACACCAAGAAGGAGCAGGACGATCTTAAGCTAGCTATTAAGCTACGTAACGATAGAGTTATCACAACATTAGGCGCACCCTTTAAAGCATCTAATGACCAAGAGATCAGCGACCTCGTAGGTCGTGGAGTCTTTAAGTTTGAGCAATACGACGAGAGGCTACACAGCAAGATCTAGATCTTCAAGTCACGCCTAGTACGTGAGGTCAAGGGAAAGACAACTAAGCCCTATAAGAAATCCCGCCTGGTTATCTAAGGCTAGTAGGACCACGGCAAAGAGGCTATCCTGACGCAATCTCTAACTATCTAGCGATGCAGCCAGCGCCTGATTATCACAGTCCGCAACAATCAATTAAGTGGGTCCTAGAAGGTTCAGATTGGATTGATTGATTACCGCTTTAAGCCTAGTAGTTACCTATAGGAGTTTAAGCCCTACCTAGATAGGTAAGTGGGTCTAGGAGAGTGACCGGATTGAATTGATTGTTGCGGAGTCTACTGATTATGTCGCTAGCGCTCGAGATAGTACAACGCGGAATGAACATCGAGCTCCGTGACATTACGCAGGCGTATCCCTAGGCGCAGACAACCCTAAAGAGGACGATACTCGCACATCTTCCTACTAAGCTGGTACCACGATATCTGAGGGGCACGCTACTCTATGTGATCAAGCCACTGTATAGAATCGCAGAGGCAGGAGTCCACTAGTGGACAACCTATTATAGGCACTATTGCAAGGAACTAGACATAGCAACATCTACGTACGACCTATGCCTGTTAATCACAAAAAGCGACACTAGCATCTTCAGCATCGTTAGTATGCAAACAGATAACACTCTTATGCTTAGGACACCCGCGTTCTCGTTACTTAAAGAGAAAAAGATCTAGAAGGTAGAGTTTAGATCGAAACTAAAGTCTGTCCTTACCAACTACCAGGAAAAGAGATGGGATTGGCCAGCACTATCCACGACTGAACTAGAACGAGCATGCTCAAGGCAAGTCAAAAGTAGCACCCCAGGACCAGATGCAATAACACAAGACATAATCACAGCCGCGTACAAAGCTCAACCGCAAACGATGTTTAAAGCTTTCTCACTCCTATTCGACTACGGATACCACCCAAAATGCTGGAAACAAGCTACAGGAGCTGTTCTCAAAAAGGCATCAAAACCAGACTACTCAATCCCAAAAGCCTACAGAGTCATTACTCTATTAAGCTGTTTAGGAAAGATTAACGAGAGGATCACCGCAAGTAGGCTGAGCAATCTAGCAGAAATCACAGAGCTACTACACCCAACCCAAATTGGGGGTAGACTCAAGAAATCTGCAATAGATGCAGCTATGCTACTCATCGACCAAATTCAGCACCAGAAACAGAAAGGCCAAATAACATCAACTATCTTCCTAGACGTAAAGGTGTAAGGGGCTGCGCAAAGTATGCCGGTGCCTGGTAACAGGATTGTATTCGATGAAGAAGAAAGCTATCTGCAGTGCAACGATATCTATATACGTTTGGCTCGTTGTTCACGTAGCTTCTCGAAGCATCTAAAGTGCCGAGGAAGCTCCGAAGGTTCCACCGAGGATCACCATAGCATCTGGGCTCTAGCCCGTTACAAAAGGGAGCATTTGACCACGTCTCACACAATCAATTCCTGCGAACGCTTAAGAAGCTAGGCCTTCCAATTAGTCTTATCGCTTGGACAAAATCCTTCTTCTCAAACAGATCGCTAAGACTCTCCTTCGACAATAAGACACAAGAATTCTCCGAGATAATAGCTGGGATACCTCAAGGCAGCCCAGTGTCTCCAATCTTCTTTCTTATCTACACCAGAGACCTCTTCCCAGGACTACAAAGCTTCAACCTATCCTATATTGACGACCTATCTCTATCGACATCCTCAACATCGCTAAAGAAAAACGTCAAAATACTAGAACAGCAAGTCCGCCTACTATCTCACCGAGGGAAAAACTTAGCGATTATGTTCGATATAGCTAAGACAGAGCTCATCCACTTTACCGCCAAGAAAGAGAGAAAAGAGAGAAGCCTACAGCTTCCAGACAACACCATTGTAGAACCGAAAGACACAATCAAATGGCTAGGTATCCACATAGACAATAGACTGTCCTTCAAGGAACATATTGCTACACGCGTAAGCCAAGCAAGGAAAGCATTCTATAGACTAGGGAGACTAGCCAACATCGAAAGAGGACTCTCCCCAAAAGCAGTACGACAACTATACCTAGCATGCGTCACAAGCGTTGCAGACTACGGATCACAAATATACTGGAAGAACCAAAGCTACGCCACTAGCCTCCTACAATCACTGCACAACCTGGCGTGTAGAAAGATAATTGGAGTGTTTAGAACGTCACCATCCCTACCAACAAGCATTGAATCCGGGACTTACGTCACCTGCAATTAGACTCAACACCAACAACCGAAAGTATGCGTCTAGAGCACACCAGCTATCCAGCAACCACCCAATCCAGAAAGCAATTACAAGGATCACAAATACAGACAAAGCTAGCTACAAAAAGCCAAACCAGCATAGACAACTATATACTATTGTTAAGTCAATCCCAGAGAGAGACAACAATAGCGTAGAAAAGATAATTCCATATAGGTTCAGACCATGGGAAAGTCTTAACTACAAGGTTACTGTATCAAAAAAGAGCAAAGAGGAAGAGGCAATTGCACACGCGGATTATATCCTATCAAGGAGCGGAGATAACTTCACCGCAATCTACTCAGATGCCTCACAACACGACAAGGGAATAGGGATCGGCGTAGGTGTAGTAGCGTACAGCTCCACCCACGAAGAAACCTTTTCTCAAAAGACAAACATTGGATGCTCCCAACTAGTCTACAACGGTGAACTAGAGGGGATAGCACAGGCATTTGAACACGCGGCTATAGTGGCACAAGAAGGCCAAGAGATCTACGTATACGCAGACAACCAAGCAGCAATCCATAGGCTTAACAACCTATCGGACAACCCGGGACAACAGTGGCTACTAAGATGCATCAGAGCTGCAAAGAGAATAACGACAAAGAAAGCATCTATCCACCTGCAGTGGGCCCCAGGCAGACTCCGCAACAATCAATCGATTGACATGATTGATTCCTATATAGGTTAAAGAATTACTTCATTAGGCAGCCTTTAACCTAGATAGGAATCAATCATGCCGATCCGATTGATTGTTGCGGAGTCTGGCCCCAGGACACAACGACGTCAAGGGCAACGAAAAAGCCGACACGCTAGCAAAGGAAGCAGCTAAAGAGAGACCAACAACATCGACCATAGCGAGCCTAGCCTACTTAGGCACAGAAATCAACAAAATACAAAAAACAGAACAACTGATGGAGTACAAGAGGTATACCGACAGGCCCACCAAAAACAGAAGCTCCTACTCAAGGATCTTCAAGCTCAACACACATACAACAATCAAAGTCCCGAAGGGAACACCAAGAGAAATCTCGAGCGCGTTCTACTCACTCAAGCTAGGACATGGATACTTCAACTCCTACCTTAAGAGATTCAACAAGAGAGACTGCCATACTTGTCAACGAGCGAGCCGGCTCGCTCAGCTCGCTCGGCTTGGACGTTTTGACCAAGCCGAATGAGCTGAGCGCGCAGTGCGCGCTTGCAAGCCGAGCGAGCTTAGGGATAGGCGCTCGCTCAGTCAGCTTGCTTAGCTTGGTTGGATGGAGCGGTTGGAAACTTGGGGCTGAAGGACTTGGTGGAGGGGCAATCTCACGATGATTTTTAGGTGTAGTGCGTAAGTTCGAAACCTAGTTATAACCTAAAATACACTCTTTTTTGCTATATTTCTAGCAAATAAGCTACTAAACTTCCGGCTAACGGCCTGGCAACAATATTCTCCTTCTGCGACACTTCACTTACTACTTATCACCCACCACACTCACCTATACTCCACCAACGCGTCTCTATTTGCAGCTATTATCTACCTCGCCGTTGCTATAATGCCAGCAAAAAGAACATGCGTTAATGCTCTAGAAATCGCGACAACTTCGAAGCGCCCTAGAGTCGCAGCGCGTCATCGCGGGACTGCCAGCCAACCTGTGCTAGTCGATACTCAGCCATTCTCACCATCTCCACCTCCTCCACCGCTGTCGCCGCGTCAAGCTCTCGTTGCCGCGCCACAAGCACCAAATTTTGAAGCGACCCTCCGAGAGTCGCGCGCCGAAGAGACGATCATCCCACCACCTAAGGGCAGCGAGCATGCCACTGTTGCAGCTTCAGGAGCAGCTAGCGAGGCTGTCGACGAGGGTTTCGTATGGGTAGAGGACAAATACGACGGCTTTAATTGGAGTCGCTACCCAAAGCACTGCAAGCCGCCCACATCACTTTCGAACCGAGCAAGCTGGGTATACAGCCATGGCTATCGCATCGCCTTGCGCAGCAACGTCGCAAAAGTCACGTGGATCTGCCACTATTGCTATAAGCACAAGTTCACTACTGTTGGCCGTGGCATACATGACGTCTCGCAGTCTCCATCAGCGCCAGCACGTCATCTCGGAGAAGACAAGAAAGGTCATGGCTTGAAGCCTCCAAGTAAGCGCACTACCGTCGCTCCTCGGAAAGAAACTCTCCTCGAACGCGCCCTTCAGAAGGGCTGCTCTCAGGCTGTTGCCAACGAGCTTACCAACTTCAATATACAAGAGTTTAGGCTTGCGGCCGTCACCTGGCTCGTCGAAAACAACCTCCCACTCTCACAATTCGAATCATCGTCTTTTCGCAATATGATACAATTTAGCTAGCGTAGAGGCAGAACGAGCCCTGTGGGCATCTCATAACAGCGTCTCACGATACGTTATACGCCTGTACAACTACCTGTTACCAAAGGTTGTCGCAAGCCTTTCAGAATCAATGAGCAAAGTCCATATAAGCTTTGACGGATGGACGACAAAAGGTGGCAAGCGCGGTTACTTAGGTATCGTCGCCCACTACGTTGATAGCTCTGGCGAGCTCAGGGACTTGCCTATTGCGCTCCCACAACTGACAGGTGCCCACACCGGCGAGGCCATGGCTGAGGTCGTGATGGCAATATTCAAGCAGTTCGAAATCACTGTGGGCAAGCTCGGTTACTTCGTCCTCGACAACGCACATAACAACAACACCACGATCAACACTCTCGCCTTGCAGATGGGCTTCAGCGCTACCGAGCGTCGCCTTCGCTGCGGTCCTCATACGCTTAATCTCATTGGCCAGATGCTACTCTGGGGTGAGGAGAAAGAGTCCTACGACAACGAGGAGACTGAGCGCGTGAACGAAGCTGAGAATATGGCTACTTGGCGAGGCGATGGACCATTAGGAGTGCTTGTCGCGGTTATTAACTACATCAAAACACCACAACAGTACGCTCTTTTTGAGAAGTATCAGAAGCTCGCTATTAGGGACCAGCCTGTCAACGCGCCAACAGAACAGCACAAAATCAAGGAGCCCGTCAAGCTAGTTGTTACTCGCTATAACTCTTACGTTTCGTGTTTTAAGCGCGCTGTTGAGTTGTAATTAGCGGTTAATAGGTACGCCAACTACCATATTTAGAAGATTGAAACTGAAGACGCGTACGCCCGAAGTCGTAACAACAAGCTGCCTGCAGCGCCGGATTGGATGAGGTCTGATGGGATCAATGCCCATGACTGGCAGGTGATTGCTGAGTATATTGATGTGCTTAGGCCACTAAAACAAGCTACAAAACGGCTTGAAGGCCGCGGCAAAAGCGGTGCTTTTGGAGCAATCGCTGAGGTTATTCTAGTATTTGAATACTTACTTGGAGTCTATGAGGACCGCTTGCAAAGCTATGAAGACGTCATTTATGATGAGCATACAGAGTCACCCGAAGACCACCTTGCTATCAACCTCCGCGCTGCCCTAGTTAAAGCCCGCGAGTACTACAACAAGCTCGACCTCTCGCCAGCTTACTATGCTGCTATAATCCTTCATCCTCGCTACAAAAGCTACCTTGACGCAGCGTGGGCGGATAAGCCTGATTGGCTAGAGAGCAGCAACCGCAAGTTTCAACATTTGTGGGCGGAGTACAAAAGCTTACCGAAGCCGCGCTTACGCCCCAAAGTCAGGCACAATGATATAGACGACGCTATCAACAGCTTTATTGAGCCTGCAGGGCTTACGGAGAACGAGGAGGATGAATATGAGGCTTGGAAACGCAGCGAACCGATCGCTAGCGAGGGCGTCGACCCTATAAAATACTGGGTAGGACTCCGCGATCGCTACCCCAGCCTTAGCAAATTTGCTATCGACATGCTATCAATCCCAGGCTCAAGCTGTGAGTGTGAGCGCTTATTCAGCGAGCTGGGTGACCTCCTCGAGCCCCGTCGGCGCAGCATTTCTCCGCAACTTCTAGCAGCAATACAGTGCGATCGACGATGGATAAGAGCTGGATTTGGCAGTGGTGAGGTGCCTGTAAAGGAGGCTATCAGCGATGAGGAGATGGACGCGAAATACGGTGTACATAAGTGGGATATTAGCTGAGAAACTCAACACCAAGGTTTCTATATAACTTTCCTAATCGGGACTGAGCCCATCAAGCCGAGCGAGCTGACAGCCCTGTTTCAGCCAATCCGAGCGAGCCGAGCGAGCTGCTGGCCTCCGCTCAATTGGCTGAGCAAGCCAATTGGCTGAGCTCGCTCAGCTTGCTCATTGACATCTGTGTGGCCAAGGCATACACAAAAGTTGAAGATCCTGAACTAACAGTCTAGTAGTTGGTCGAAAGTTGGACAATCTGTCGACTGTGCGGTAGTAAAGATAATCCATATCTTCCTGTGAAAGCCACATGAGACCCTTGATATATGTTCCGAGCGAGGACGAATCGATAGCTTGCACACCTGAGATCAATCAAGCTAGCTTGATAGCTTGATTGGAAGATTGATGCCAAGCCAATTCAATCAATCCAGCCAAACCTCATACAAAAACGCAATCAATCCAGCTGAGCTTTTCCGTGAGCTTGATTCAGATTGATAGCTTGATTGCCTTAAGTATATAGTAGATTTCGGTGATGAGGCAGCCCATGAGGCAGCTTAGATAGCTGTAAAAGCTCTATACTGAGCTTTTTTTGGTGTTTTAGTTACGCCGTGTAACATTGAGTAATATCCGATAGCTCCGTGTAACTAGCAGCCAGCGCGTCGTCTCATATAGTATACTCCATCTCCATCTCCATCACCCACAATACTATATACTTTTGGTGTTGCAGATCTATCGCCGTATACCTCACCTCATCGTCGCCCTCATGCCGCCCAAAAAACGCGTCTCTGATAGCGCTCCCTCGCCTAGAAAGCGCGCGCGCGGCACTGCGAGCCAGCCCGTCGCGATCGACTCGCAGTCATATCAATCTCAGCCATCTGCTCTATCTCCGCCGCCTCCATATACACATACTTTCGAGTCGCGATTGCGCGAGTCGCAGCCCGAAGACGCTATCGTCGCGCCCGCCGAGGGCAGTGAGCAAGCTACGCTCGCTCCGTCTTCTGAAGCCGCCGACGACGCTGTAGATGAGGCTTTTGACGCCCATCTCGAAGACAATTATGATGGCATAGATTGGGGTCGCCTTAAGCTGTATACGAAGCCTATCACGACGCACCAACACAAGCGGAGTTGGATCCATCGCCACGGCTATCGCGTCGCTCTTCTCAAAGATCCAACCCGCGTATTCTTCATCTGCCACTGGTGTTTCAAGCACAAGCTCACGGATATTGGTATTGGGATATACAATACAAGCGCAGCAGTCTCGTCAGCCGCGCGCCACCTCAGCGAGCAGAAACCTGGCCATAGGCTAGTAGCACCAGGCAAGACTCCAGTTGCTAGTGTTTACAACGCGCTCACCACTGCGAGAGTCCCTATCTCACAGGCAGTAGCTAATCAGATTAACGGGTTTAGCAAGCAGCGCTTTAGGTTTGCCGCAGTAGACTGGCTCGTCGCGAACAACCACCCCATCTCTGAGTTCGAAACACCAGCTTTTCGACGCCTAATTGCTATCGCCAACCCACTTGCAGAAGCAGCGCTCTGGAAGAACCACAAGAGCGTCTCCCAATACGTCATACGACTGTTTGACTGGCTCAGGCCCCGCGTTGTCCACGAGCTGTCACAATCGCTTAGCAAGATCCATATAAGCTTTGACGGATGGACAACGAAAGGCGGCAAGCGCGGGTTTCTCGGTATCGTCGCCCACTACGTCAACTCAGATGGCAAGCTCCGAGACCTGCCTATCGCGCTGCCTCAGCTCACAGGCGCTCACTCCGGCGATCGATTAGCTGAGGTTGTATTATCAATCTTAGAGCAGTTTAGCATAAGCGAGCGCACACTCGGTTACTTCGTCCTCGACAATGCCTCTAATAACGACACCGCTGTCGCTGCGATTGCCCACGAGCTTAACTTCAATCCTATACACCGACGCCTCCGCTGTGGCCCTCATACGATCAATCTGATTGGGCAGAGACTGCTCTGGGGCAGAGATGCAGACTCATACAACAACGAGGGAGTTGACGAGCTCGCCGACGAGGCAGCGTTTATAAAGGAGTGGCGAAAGCACGGGCCTTTAGGCGTACTTCTCGATATTGTCAACTATATCCACACACCGCAGCAGTACAATCTTTTTGAGAAGGCGCAGCGTACAGCTTACCGTGAGCTACCTCACGACGCAGACGACAAGCTCACGATACTACAGCCAATCAAGCCAGTAGTCACACGCTGGAACTCATACTTCGACTGTTTTGAGCGAGCTATAAAGCTCGCGCCGGCCATCAACGCGTACGCGAACACCCACATACAAAATACAGCAAAAGAGGATATCTACGCCGACTCACAGGGCAAAAATCGGCCTGCTGCTCCACAGTGGATGAGATCAGACGGCCTCACAGCTGCCGATTGGGCTGTTGTTACCGACTATATAGAGGTTCTTAGGCCACTTAAAGAGTGTACAAAGCGCTTTGAGGGACGTGGCGAGTATAGCTTTGGCGCGATCGCTGAGGTGATCCCAACGTTTGAGTTTCTACTCACTCAATTAGAAGCTCGCCTCCTCTACTACGATTGCGTAGTCCATGACGCTCACGACGAGGCACCCGAAGATCACCTTCCTATTAATCTACGCGCAGCGCTACTTAAGGCGAACGAGTACTACGCTAAACTCGACGACTCGCCAGCTTACTACGCTGCTACAATACTCCATCCTCGCTACAAACACTACTGCGATCAAGCGTGGGCTGAGAAGCCTGACTGGCTGGCGCTTAATAATCTTAATTTCCAGGCACTGTGGGCGGATTACAAGTCGCTGCCGTTACCGAGGCCTTGCTACACACGCGCACCGAAGAAACCGAGCAATATTGACGACGCGATTGACGGCATTATTGATCCCACACGCGGCAATACTAAGGAGGATGAGTATGAGCAGTGGAAGCGCGAGCCAATCGTTGGCAAGGGCACCGATCCTATACAATACTGGTTCGGGCTGCGCGATCAATATCCCAACCTTAGTAAGATGGCGCTTACTATACTCTCTATACCCGCTTCAAGCTGTGAGTGTGAGCGCGTCTTCAGTGAGCTCGGAGATCTACTAGAGCCTCGCCGACGCTGTATATCACCTGAGCTACTAGCAGCACTACACTCAGTACGACGATGGAGACGGGCAGGTTTTGGTGGCGGCGACAACGACGATATGGGCCAATCAAAGCTTACCGACGAGCAGATGGACGTTTTGTACGAGCTTAGCAAGTGGGTGGGCGAAGACGACGATCTAGATACATGGGACGACGGCTGAGACTCAACACCAAAAAATATATACAACTTTCCTATTTGGGAATCAAGCACCCAAGCTACCAATCAAGCTAACAACTTTCCGCCAAGCCAATTCAATCAATCCAGCCAAATCTCATACAAACAGCCAATCAATCAAGCCGGGGGCTGTCAGCTTGCTTGATTGATTGATCTCAGGTGTGGCCCTAACACGTTGGAACTAGATGTTCGGTATTGTGACCGGCTCCCTAGAATAGAAGCATCCAAGCTGCCTGAGCCGTGAGTCCAAGTAGTGCGAGCGAACTCGCAGCAAAGACCGGAAAGCGTATGGAAGGATTATTGGTAGAAACGTGAATGATGCTGTGTAACATTCTCAGCCCTACATAAGTCCACGCCACACTGACAGTTCTCTTGTCCTTGACATCCAAAAAGCTCAGCCCCAGCAACACTGCGTAGAACTGAGTAGGTTGTTCCAGTAAGTTGTTGAAATTATCTGCCGGCCATTGAACGAAAGCTGGTAACTTTTCTGCCTTCTGCTTTTTGACGGTTGCTGGATCAAAGGTGACGTTGTACTTCGAGAGCGCTGGGATCCTGCGTTTGTATAGTAGGAATTCCATAGCAAAGGTCCAGATATTAAGGCCGACAAGGGGGCCAAGGAGAGGTTTGTTGGCAAGAAGGGGGGACATGGTGGCTGTTGGCTGATGGTTCGGGCCAGGAAAGTTGGCAATTGCCTCAATTCGGGGCTGTAGAGTAACAACGTTTTGGTAGGTAGAGGAAGCAAGTGAGCGAGCGATATAAGTCCGGTCTAACAAATTTATTTCCTGTTAGTAGCTTAACGCTAAGAGCGGTTAGTCGAGCTTATTAACCCGCGATCCACCAATATCTCCGTTGAAATAGACTTATTTGTCAGCTCCATGCAGACGGTCCGATTCTACCAATAATCGAGACACCCGGCTTTAATGACCTAACTTGATTTAGTTAATTACGTCATAGAACATGATTTCTGTTGCGTACGTTAGGTTCTTCGAAATATTCATGATTCCCCGTCCACAATACTCCGATCGAGTGCGCTTTCTAGCCTCGGACAGTTTCAAATCACTTTGTCAATCCAAACTGCAATACTCATCTTACAATAATTATACTGCAACAGTTAATCAGGTTCGCGATTTTTAACACGCTTCTCATTTAGCAAACGATAGGCTATGCCAACCGCAACAATTGTCTGCTGTACCTCTACTAATTCGGCCTCGCATTTGGTGATACTTCTGGCATAGTAAGTGAGCTGCCGAGGAACCGTCTAAACAACGGTGAAACAATCGCAGCTATCCGCTGGCGGTTAAGACCACCAGAAAGTATCAAGGGTCTGGTGCAAGATAAACAATAGTGGCGGGAAAGCTGCCTGCATTTCCTAAGATGTATCGAGCAAGAAGAGTGTTAAGTTTGCCTTCGAAACCACTGTTCAGAATAGCGACAACGCGCCGTACGCGACCGTCATCTATAACGCCTCTGGCCATAAGCACTTCTCTTGCAAAGATGTATGCGCCTAAAGGTGCAAACGCGGTCCACGCGACGATTTATGGTGAGATTGACATTCCTAAGTTGCAAAAAACGCTGAAACAGATGTGAAGCTAGGGTAGGACCAGAAGATGTCGCAAACGTTTACTGGGATCGACGCACACAGAGTTGAAATGGATTTACGAACGAGTTCGACATCGTCGATGCTTGAAAAATAGTGGTTATTATAGTCTTTGAAAAGAGTCATGCTTGCTCAATCTTTAAGATCTTAGTATGCAGCTCTAGATAGTGTAGCATCCTGCCAAGCATGGCCACCGCCACAGCTCTGCTAGTACTCATCCCTCACGAACATGAACAACCAAAACTCCTCACTATTGTTAGAGGTCGAACTGGAGCATATCTCCACGGCCCTAATGATTTCGGTGCTCGTGCTCGGAGCCGCTTGTCGTTTAATCGTACCATAGCTGTATCACTAAGTATGCAGAGCCTTTCCACCTTCGTATGCGCTTGCAACGACGGCGTTTTGCCAGTAGCGCTTAGTTGAACCCCATTTGCCGAAGCGCAGGCTTCGATTTCCAAGGCCGCCGCGCTCTACCTTATCTTATATCCTTCCTATCCAATCGTATTACCCTTTAACGAGCTGAGACTAGAGCTCGCTGCGGCTTGATGTAGAAATCGGCGCCGGTGGACTCGAGAAGCATGGAGACGTAGTGGGCTGGATCAGGTCGTTCCATCGGTCAGCGGATGAGAGAACGGCGGATCTCAACACTCGGGGGCGACGTGATGGTATGCATCACGAAGCAAGTATCACTGTGCGTTGGACTGCATCTCGAAGTGTGTGGGTTGATTTATTTATTTATTTATTTATTTATTTATTGACTCCTACTCGGTTTCAGCCGCGTTGCTGCGCAGCTATGCCCGGAGTGACAGGCGTGGCAGACAGCGGACGCGGTGCGGACGTTGATCCGCGCCGCCCCACGTCGCTCCCTTATGGGAGCCAGCTGTTCCTAGAGGCCTGCCGTTTCCCCTCCACCACTATCTACAATCTGGCTGCCACCTTATCTAGATCATGGCACTACTAACAGTATACTGTGCTTATAGGCTCGTAGAGGCGTGCTGCCTCGTGTTTTGCGGCCGCGATACCTACAGTCTCCCTCTAGCGCTCGGCTGTCGTCTACGCGTCTTCGATCCCAACATGCCTAAGAATCTGCGCTTGTTCTATAAACTAGATGGCTTTGGTGGCTAGCTATGGCCTACTTAGGATGGCCCGGAGGTTGTGTCGTCCCTCGAGGTTGTCGAATACCTGGTTCCGGAGGTCCTTGAGCATCCTGCAGTGGAGCAGGATGTGGGCGACAGTCTGTCGTCTCTCCCCGCACTGGCAGCGGGAGCTGGTAACACCTGGCACTCTTTGGGTGAAGAGAAAGTCGCGCAGGCCTATCTTCTTAGTACGCAGCTGCACTATGAGGGACGTTACCCGTGCTAAGAGGATTGTACAGTACGCTGTAGGATGCTTACTAATAGTTGTAAGAAACAAGTGCAGCAGTTTTTGTAGGCAGGGAGCCCGTGGACGACACAACCTCCGGGCCATCCTAGGTAAGCCACAGCTAGCTACCAAAGCCATCCAGTTTGTAGAACAAGCGCAGATCCTTGGGCATGTTGGGATCGAAGACGCGTAGACGACAGCCGAGCGCTAGAGGGAGACTGTAGGTATCGCGGCCGCAAAATACGAGGCAGCACGCCTCTACGAGCCTATAAGCACAGCATACTGTTAGTAGAACCATTATCCAGATGAGGTGGCAGCCAGATTGTAGATAGTGGTGGAGGGGAAACGGCAGGCCTCTAGGAACAGCTGGCTCCCATAAGGGAGTGACGTGGGGCGGCGCGGATTAACGTCTGCGCGGCGTCGGCTGTTGGCTACGCCAGCCACGCCGGGCATAGCTGCGGAGAAAACGCGGCTGAAACCGAGTAGGACTCAATCAATCAATCAATCAGTAGGCAGGGAAAAACACCACACACAGCGAGAACTTGATTTTTGGAATTCAGTCGTTTTTTCGCACTCAAACGCTCGCTCTTGACGCCAATTGACTAGCCAGCACTCAGCCGTAGCGCCCACTGCGACTGACGTGCCATGGCGACACCGTGGCCTCAGCAGCCCGCATGGCCAACACCATTCCGCGAGCACGCTACACGACTCAGCACCTACCTTCAGGACGCGCTGACCTGCATCGATCGCACTCAAAGCCAGCCCGTACCGGCAGACCTTGTCAAGATCATTATCCATGGCACCCTGACATTCATACTGAAAGTGCAACACGCCCCCGACCTCAGCACGGTATGCGACGCGCTTAGCATCCTGCAAACCGAGGCCAAAGCGACCTCGGACAACACCGCGCGAATGCTCGACGCCGTCAAACAAGAACTTAAGACCGAACTTAAAAATACAACCGACACTGTCCACACAATCGCTGCAAACGTACAACTGAACATAAGAGCTGGAGAGGAAGCAAAGACAGCAGCCAAGGAGGCGGCAGAGGTAGGTAAAGCCAGCCTAGAGATGGCAAGACGGATCAAAAATGCAGGACCACAGACAGGTGGCGCGCTCAGCTATGCTGCGATGGCAGCGAGGGGCGCGACGCTAGCAGGTACATCGAATACACAAGTTCCTAGAATGCCTTCTTCTCAGACGCAGCGTGAAGTCGTCGTGACTATTAGAGACCCCAATACAGTACAAAGCCTGCGGGCGATGAACCCGCGCAACCTCAATGCGCACGTAGAGCGCGCCATCGCGCAGAGCGGAAATGAGAATATAGCTAGCATCAAGGTACTCTCATCAAACCAGCTAAAGAGCGGCGACCTTAGCATCAAGACAGCTACCAGCACTGATATAGAAGCACTAAAGCAATTCGCCGACGATTGGGTCCACCGCGTCGGCAACAGGGCCACCCTACGGATCACGACTTACGGCATCATTGCACACAGCATACGCACTAGCACAATCGACATGACTAGATTCGAAGAGACGAGAAATCAGCTACTGCTGGACAACAAGCCGTTCATCCCGCAGGCAGAAATTAAGTACATAGGATGGCTAACACGCAACGCACCTACGAAAGCCGCCTCTAGCATTATTATAGAGTTTAGTAAGCCAGAGGACGCCAACAAGATCATTGACGAGGGCCTCATCTGGCAGGGCGAGGTCTTTCAGTGCGAGCGATACGAGCGACAGTGCCGAGTGAAGCAGTGCTTTAAGTGCCAACACTACGGCCACATAGGAACCCAGTGCAAGGCAACAATCGCATGCGGATACTGCGCGCAAGAACACGAAAGTCGAGACTGCCCGTCGAAGCTCGACCGGACTATCCCCAGGAAGTGCGCCACCTGTCGAGGCGAACACGAAGCATGGAACTACCAATGTCCTACTAGGAAAGAGGAGAGGGCGAAAGCGAAGGCTGCATACGACATGCGCCCATACTACCACCCGGTTACGGAGACAGGAGGGAGAGTTCCACTAGAAGAACCAGTAACCGCCACCCGAAGGAGCAGACTCACGCAAGCCGCTGTATCGACGCAGCCAACACCAATCACCAGGAACCGATCCCAGACCGGACGAGGGCAGAAGAGGACTAATGCTGGAACCACCGTCGATCCAGCAGAGCAACAGAACCCACCAACACAGGCGAGCGGCAGCCAAAGGCCGCAGAGGCATATCATGCCCACTCGGAGGGCTATGGAAGCAAACGGGAATAGCACGCGACGAACACAGGGCGGCAACAGCCAGCACATGGAAATCGACTCTGACAACGAAGCATGAATAGACACAATAGACTAAACATATTACAGTACAACGTACGCAAGTCAAGAGACATGGTCATGGCGTCATTACTACGTGACCCAGGGATCTACGACTTCGATATTATCGCTATTCAAGAGCCATGGAAAAACCCATACGCAACAACCACACATCACCCAGCCAAGAACAAGTTCCACCTTTGCTACCCAACAAGCCACATAGGAGGAATAGCTAGAGTCTGTTTCTTTATTAACAAGAAGATAGACCAACTAAGATGGCGCTTTGAGGAACGAACTAGAGACATCTGCTCTATAATTATAGACCCAAAAGACGACCAGCAACAACAAGAAAGACTAGTTATCCATAACGTCTACAACCCGCCGAAGACTTCGAGTAACCGACAGAGCGTACTACCACAGGTACGAGAAGCGTTAAGACAATATCATACGGACGAACAAATACTGCTTGGTGACTTTAATCTCCACCATCCTCTATGGGGAGGGCTAAATAGAGAGGTCGCCGATCTCGAGTCAGAGGACCTGATAGACATAATAGGAGACTGCGCACTCCATAACACTCTCTCACCAGGAACGACCACATATGAAGAAGGCCGCTCGCAGTCGACGATTGATCTCTGCCTCGTAACAACAGGACTAATCGACAAAGTCATTAAGAGCGAAGTAGATAGAGGTCTAGACCACAACTCAGATCACCTACCAATAAGCACAACGTTAGACCTTACAGTACAACAGCTTAAGAAGGAGCCGCGCAAAGATTGGAAGAGACTAGACGAGAAAGAGTACACGAAAGCGCTAAGACACGCCTTACCTCCGCTTCGAAGACCGCTCACAAAGGCAGCGCTTGACGCATACACAGGTGAGGTGACAGCCGCAATCCAGAACGCGATACACAAGGCAGTGCCGGAGACTCAACCCTCTACCTACACCCGGGAAGGATGGACTGAGGAATGCAGAGCCATCCTAGCTGAGACAAAACGGCTGAAAAGGGTACACAGTCAATACCATACAGAAGAGACCTGGGAAGCGTACCGCGCCGCGAGGAACCAAAAAGCGAGAACAATTAGCAAAGCCTTACGCAAAGCACACAGAAACCGCATAGAGCAAGCGACAGAGTCACCAGACGCGCTGTGGAAGCTAGCAAGGTGGGCACGTACGAGGCATGACCAGTCAATTGGATCCATACCAACAATACAGCACCCTGACACCCGATGTGAACTAGAAGACCCAGCAGAAAAGGCTGAGCTGTTCCGAGACGTCTTCTTTCCAGCGCCACCAGAAGCAGACTTGGGAGACATAGAGAATGCTACATATGCAGGCCAGATCGACATGCCACCAATCGAAGAAAAGGAGGTACGGACAGCCATTCGAGCAGCATCACCCCTCAAAGCTCCAGGTCCGGACAGGATCACGAATAAGGCGCTGCAAGCCGGGATCGACCTAATAGCAGTCCATCTAACGAGGATCTTTAACCAGAGTCTGCGACTAGGATACTGCCCAAACTCATTTCGAGCGTCCATCACAGCTGTCCTACGCAAACCCGGCAAGACCAACTACGCAGTGCCCAAGGCATACCGTCCCATCGCGCTACTCAATACCATTGGCAAGGTTATGGATGCAGTGATAGCCAGGAGACTAAGCTACCTAGTGGAAACCCACCACGTGCTACCGCTGACCCACATGGGGGGAAGGAAGCACCGATCCACAGAGCACGCACTACACGCCATTACGGCGAAGATCTATGAACGGTGGAACAGCGGAAAAGACGGCCAGGTGGCCAGTCTCTTGCTGCTAGACGTGACTGGAGCCTTCGACAACGTGTCTCACAAGCGGCTGCTCCACAACCTACGAAAACGCAAAGTCGACGAAAGGATAGTGCGCTGGATAGCAAGCTTTTTAAGCGGTAGACACACCTGCGTTCTAGTCGACGGGTATAAATCCAAAGACTACGAGATAAACACAGGCATCCCCCAGGGCTCGCCACTCTCCCCTATACTCTATCTCTTCTACAACGCAGACCTAATCGAGCAGTGCAACGAGCAGACGGACGCTATGTCAGTAGGATATATCGACGACGTTGCTATCCTCGCCTGGGGCAAGACCACAGAACGAACGTGCGAAGTGCTAGGCACAGTACTAGAGAAAGCACAGCGATGGGCATCGACACACGCATCTGTCTTTGCTCCCGATAAATTCCAGCTAACTCACTTCACAAGATCACGCAAACGTATCAACGTCGATGCGCCCATCCAGACAGAGTGGGGCGAGATAAAGCCGTCACCAACATGCAAGTACCTCGGGCTAACCCTGGACAATAAACTAAAGTGGAGAGAGCAAGTAGAGACGATCAGACAGAAGGCAACACGCACAGTACACATGCTAAGCAGCCTCGGCAGCTCTACCTGGGGCGTCCGTCTGCAAGACATGCGCAGACTGTACGAAGCCATCGCACTCCCACAAATGATGTACGCTTGTTCCATCTGGTCCAACGCCAACCTCAACGACAAGAATCGCGCCTACACGCATAAGACGATAGATGCCCTGCGCAGTATCCAAGCAAGAGCAGCGCGAAGTATATGCGGAGCCTATAGAGCAACCTCAAGGGCTGCACTTGACGTAGAAACGTTTCTCCTTCCAATCGAACAGCAGATCTGGAAGCACAACGCAGACGTAGTAACTCGACTATCTTCGTCTAGGGACATCGCGAAAACCGCAGGCTTTGAGCTAAGAGAACCAGCACCAGTGGCCATGGATAAGAACTACAGAGCACACAAGAGTCCTTGGCAGAAGATCTATGAGGCACTAAGGAGCAAGCAAGTGCGCAATCTAGACAAGCAAGAGCATATCCCGCCATTCATCACGCCTCCATGGCAGAGAGGGCCGCACACCCACATCGAAGGCAATGCAGACAAGGCCCGAGACCGCCACGACGCAGAGTGTGCAGCAGACAACAGCCTTAGCATATACACCGATGGCAGCGGCATCGACGGCGAGATTGGCTCCGCAGCGGTATGCCCACTCACACAGCAGACACTGTCTGCACACATGGGGCCAAGCACCCTATCGACAGTATACGCCGCGGAGCTGCAAGGCATCAGTTTGGCACTACAGATCGCGCGGAGATACGAAAACGAGCACGGTGAACGGAAGAGTATAGCCATATACACGGACAACCAGGCCGCTATATGGTCTATAGCCAAGGCAGAGGGACGATCTGGCGCCTACATCCTCGGAGAGATCGCGCAGCAGGTCCAGGAGCTCCAGGACAAAGGACTAACCGTAACCGTTCGATGGATACCGGCCCACGTAGGAATCCCCGGAAACGAGGCCGCCGACCAGGCTGCCAAGGAGGCAACTGGGTGGAGAGAGGACGGCCGCAGCCAGCTACCAGCAAACCCGCCCTCGCAATTGTATCCGCTCAAAACAACGCTCAGGAGATGGTGTAAGACACAGGCAGAGAGGGCTTGGATCAGCGCATGGAGGGAAGACAAGAGAGGCCGCGCGACATATAGACACACGCCGACGCCCACCAAGAAAGTGCTGCAGCTCCACGAGAGGCTCAGCAAAAGGGAAAGCGCGCTGTTGGTGCAACTGCGAACCGAGAAGATAGGCCTCAACGACTTTCTCTTCAGTCGACACGTCCCGACCATTACTAACCCCCGCTGCAGCTGTGGAGAGAGGCGGCAGACCGTCGCCCACGTCCTCCTCCGCTGCAGCAAGTATAAGGACCTCCGGAACCGTATTTTCGCCAACCTGTCCGGACGGAATAGTCTCAGGACTATCCTGAGCACGCCGCAGCTAGCCACCAAAGCTATCGAATATATGGAACAGACGCAGATCCTTGGGCAAGTGGGGATCAGAGATGAGTAGACGACGCCGAGCGCTGGGGGGAGACGGTAGGTACAGCGGACGCGACAGACGAGGCAGCGAGCCTCTACGAGCCTAGAAACATAGCATGCAATTAGTAGAACCGCTATCTAGATGGCCGGCCAAAGCATATAGATGGTGGTTGATGGAAGACGGCAGGTTGCTGGGGACAGATGGTCTCTCTCAAGGGATGAAGTGGGGCGGCGCGGATCAACGTCCGCACCGCGTCCGCTGTCTGCCACGCCTGTCACTCCGGGCATAGCTGCGCAGCACGCGGCTGAAACCGAGTAGGAGTCAATAAATAAATAAATAAATCAGTAGGCAGGGAGCGAGGGTCATGCTGCCTAGAGCCAGAGCGAGTAAGGAAAAGCCTGTGCTAAGCGAGACAGGGGTAAGCGTGGGATGACAACAAAGCCGCGTGCGCAAAGCGGAAGCTGCAAGTGCATGAGAGTGTATGGAACAGACGCAAATCCTTCGGCAAGTGGGGGTCAGAGATGAGTAGACGACGCCGAGCGCTGGGGCGAGTTTGTAGGTATAGCGGACACGACAAACGAGGCAGCGGGGCTCTACGAGCCTAGAAACACAGCATGCAATTAGTAGAACCCCTGTCTCGATAGCCTGACAAAGGACGTGTAAATAGTGGTTGAGGAAAAACGGCAAGCCTCTGGGGACAGATGGTCCTTTTGGGATGAAGTGGGGTGGTGTGGATGTTGATCCGCACCGCGTCCGCCGTTTGCCGCGCCTGTCACTCCGGGCACAGCAGCGCCGCACGCAGCTGAAACCGAGTAGGAGTCAATTAATACATAAATAAATTTGTTGAAGAGATGAACTATTCCGAATTGACCACAACGAGTATAATAATGAAACCCATCCATCCTTTATACATATCCATTGCAATCTGTGCTGTCCTCCCTGGGATCCAATCGTATACTCACTTCCCGGATGCTATGATTTGGCGGGATGTCAAGTCACTTGATCTGCGCCCTGTGGAGATCACTAACGTCTAACGTGAACGCCCCATGGCCTCTTCCAATGCACCCTGCATCAAGGAGAGATCATTGCTACTTGTAACAGAGAACTCCTATTCGTATCAAATAGATTATCACGCTTAAAGGCAGCAAGGAGTATAAAGAAGGTAGGCGGCTTAAGAAGCCAGAGCTCCCAGAGATTAACCTAAGTTAGGAATAGCCCATGAATGCTTGCTCGCCAAGTCAGGCAGGGACTTTTGAAGGGCACCTTTGTACCGGTGGGTAAATTGGATGGTGGGGTGCGCATTACGTGTCCCACGCATTGCTTGTCCGTGCACTGTACCTGTAGAAAAAGCCCCCACAGCGTGCGCAATTGCCTCCACCTGGAACTACCTGCCGAGGGCGCCATGTTAATGCCCCAAAGAAACTTGTGTATTGAAAGTTGATCGCAAGGTTATAAACGCTTTTTTCATGCCCCGCACTCGCGTTACCTTGGCATTACACTGCTAACGGGCTCGACTCCTTCCACCTCGACAATCTTGGAGATGACGGCTTCAGCCGCTTGTGACAACATGGCGCTCTCTAGATCACAGTGAGTTCTTCCAATGTGGGCGACCGTGTTTGGCCGGGGACGTGTTCGTCTCTAACATTTACATAAGAACAGCGAAGCCGTTACCCGAGGGCAATGTATCCGCTACGATTTTTCCGCCAATCCGGGCTTGCATTTTCGACATGGACGGACTCCTCATCAACTCTGAAGATATTATTACTCTTTGCACGAACCGACTTCTCGAAAAGTACGGCAGGCCTGCCTTTACTCGGTCGATTCGAGTCCAGCTCATGGGCATCCCGGACTCAACAAATGGCGACATATTCCACAATTGGGCCAAGCTGCCTATTCCGCGCGAGCAGTTTGCTCAAGAGTTGAGGGAGCAAATGCAAGCTCAGTTCCAGAGCTGCGAACCATTGCCTGGTGCGAACAAGCTTCTTTCCGATCTTAGTCATGCGCGAAATTCCTCAGGAGACAAAATCAAATTAGCGCTGGCATCTAGCAGTAAGAGCCATAGCTTTAGATTGAAAACTTCAAAACCGGAGACGAAGCAGTTGTTGGATTTCTTCGAGCCAAAGCAGCGGATTCTGGGCGACGATGCACGACTGCGAAAGGGTCGAGGGAAGCCGGCCCCTGACATATACCTAATTGCGTTGCAATCATTGAACTCGGCGAATGACGCGGAAGATATCATCAAGCCTAACGAGTGTTTGGTATTTGAAGACAGTGTAACGGGAGTAGAGGCCGGAAGACGCGCGGGGATGAGAGTCATTTGGGTCCCGCATCAAGACGTGGCGGCTGAGTATGGAAGCAAGCAAGAACAAGTGTTGGCTGGGAGAATGGGGATGAATGCGCTTGGAGATGATTGGCAATTAGGGGAAATTGATGACGGCTGGGCTGAGTGTATATCTAGTCTGGAAGAATTCAACCCTCGAAAATATGGTCTCGAGATTGTATAATCTATACAGACAAATGAGACTTATCATCGAGCCCAAAAAGCAACGATCTCGTCGAAATCTTCCGTGGTCAAGCTATTCATATCTCGATCCTCTTGAGTTATTTCCTTTCTCAAGCGGCATGCAACTCTAAAGGCAATGGACGCCTTTTGACTTCTACCTGTTGCTTCAAACAAGCGGCCCTTGAGGAAGGTTGTGCGAGCAATCTCGTTCTTGTGTGCACTTGGGTCAACAGACCAGATATCCAGCGCCATATTGGCCATGGTACTAAGAAATAGTTAGATTAAATCTCACATATGCTTTTGAAATAGCAAAACTTACATCGATTCTTCACTTCGACCCAAGCGGAGCAGGTGCTCCGCAATTTTGTGAGCGACATTCGCAGTGTAGAAATCCTTCTCACCCACCGTCGCGCGCATGTGGCGCATTGCTCGCTGATGAAACTCAAAACTCTCATCCAATCGATTCTGAGCAGCACGAAGGTTACCAAGTGCATACAGAACCAGTCCTGTTCTGACAGACTCCCTATCGTCTTTGCCTAACGCCCTTTCTCTACCCGCAAGAGTTTCCGAAAGAAGCTCGTCACACTCTTCCAGCTTTCCTTGTGCAAGAAGGGACCAGCTCAGGTTAACCTCGCCAGACCGGGGGACGTAGTTACCAAGAGCTATACGAATCCGTAGTGCTTCCCTGAGATCAGCCTCACCTTCTTCGTACCTTTTATCCTGAATGCGTGAGATGCCTCGCTCTGCGTATGCAAGATACAATCTCTCGTCAGCAGTTCCCAGTTCTTTGCAAATGTTGGAAACCAGAGCGAAAGACAATTCTTTATAGACGCGACTTTTATCGAAGTCGCTTGCGTCCATGGAGATAGCTCCTAGGCAGAAATATATGTCTGCAAGCAGGGAATCCCGATCAGGGTGTACAGAGGATTCGCAGATGCTGCGAGCAGTCTCAAAGAAGCCATCAAAATCCTTTGTTCTACCGCGTTCTTTCTGATACCTGGCCAGGTTAGATCAAGCAGCAAAGAGCTTGCATATCCTCTACGTACCATGCAGCCTCGTTCAACAACTTTGCAAAATGTAATTTGGTGGCGTCTGAGAGATCTGATATTGTTGACCAGAGCTGATGTATCCTTAGAACGTGAGGATATATCGCCGCACAAACAGGCCACCTCCCAACATGCAGTCTGCCACCACTTGATTTGGGCTGAGGCAATTCTGGCTCTTTTGATGGCTTGGGCATAGCCGATGGCCAGTCCGCCCAAAGAGTTCGTACGATCAGATCGAACATAAATCGCTTCTTGACCTCGTCCATCGTTGTCATGATCACTTCCTGTACGATGCGATGGACTGATAACTGCTGTCTTTGCTTGTCTCTTTGAACAAGCGATGACTGTAAGAGATCAGTCCGCAGACTCCGCAACAATCAATCGATCGACATGATTGATTCCTATATAGGTTAAAGAGTTACTTTATTAGGCAGCCTTTAACCTAGATAGGAATCAATCATGCCGATCCGATTGATTGTTGCGGAGTCTGTCAGTCCGAGCCTCAATATAAGCACTCTTCCTGAACTGCGCGCCATCCGAAAGTAACATGACTGATGCTTCAATCAACAGATCCTCTCCAATAAAATCCGGGTCGAGAAACGAAATCAGTTCCAACAGCTGCCGCGCATGAGGCTTTAGCTTCTCAAACGCCCAAACAGTGGACAGAGAGTGAGGATATGTGATCAAGTTAGCATCGAACTTTGTCTCATAAAGATTGGCATGTTCTTCATGATCTGTATACAGCTCAAGAAATTCAGGCAAGGTCAAGTCCTGTCGGCAAATGACTCCTGCCATCTGTGAGATGGCCAAAGGCACACCGCCTAGTGCTTCGCAGATTTTGTTCGCAGTGTTGGTCTCGGATTCGTTGGAAATGGGTGTAAGATGGTTGAATAGCGACAAACTATCCTGTTGTGTCAATGGTCCGAGATCCAATCCTGATGTCCTTCCTGTAAATATGCGTTTAGCCAATGGATCACGGCTGGTGATAAGAATTGATCCACTGCCCTGAGGCCAGTAGTCCGCCAGGATCATTGGATCGTCTGCGTTATCAAACACAAGCAACCAAGTCGCTTCTGACCTCGCTTGATCGGGCTGACCAAGCTCATCGTACCCAGATAGCTGCTTTTGAGGATTAGAGAGCCACCCTTTTACGATCTCTCTACTGACAACCTGGCTCTTGCACTCCGATGAGTCTTCGAGTCCCAATGCCAGCGATATTTGCTGGTAGTGATGGTCGAGTTTTGCAATCTCGTCTGCTGTCACCCAAAACACCGCATCAAAGGCAGCTCTATGTCGGCGGCAGAATTCACGAGCTATTTCAGTCTTCCCAATTCCTCCAAATCCACAAATTGCAAACTGCTGTAGAGCCGTGCCTGACGCTGTCACTATACTCTTCGAAGGCAAGAGCTCAGCCGCAAGACGTGCCAAGATGTCTTCACGGCCGCAGAAGTTCTCATTTTTCGGATTTGTGTTGAGTAATACGCAAGGTAGATGGACATATTTTTTCGGTTCGGTGTTCGGGGCTGCGGAATGAACCAACTCAAACCCCAAAGGTGTAGTCCCTTCTGTTGCTCCATTCGAAGGCCATTCCGTGGCTGTATTGGAAGGGTTTTCGGAGAGATCCAGGTGCTCGACTAATTATCGTTAACGTTGAGTGGTGAGTAAGCTTAGTCATCAACCTCACTTTGAAGTGGTGTTTCGCTGATCGTAGGCGAGTAAGCGCTCATTGTTGCGTACTGGTAATCCTCTTGAACCATTAGCGTCGTACTAGAGCTCGCCGAGATCTTCTTAACCTACGTTCTCTCAGCCGAAGTGCAACAAGCTGCACAGCATCTACCGAGACTTTGTGCACAAACTCATTCAACTCCCGTAAGCCTTCACCACCGACGCTTTCAGTGAAAACACATGTATTGTGATGGTCGAGGTTTAAGCCAACGACGGTTTCCATGGGAGAATGAGTCAAACAGACTTCACGGTTGACCAACTAGAAGCCTAGGTCAGTATCAGGACGTAATCAAGGACTCGGGACACTGACCTGTTGGTACTTTGAACGCAGGGGCGTTGAACTGATTCTAGACTCTCTCAGCTCATAGGCAGATAGCATGGGTGTGCGAAGTGAGATTCCTTCGAATCTATCTGCAAGGTCGAGCAGAATGGCACCTTCTCGCTCGATAATGGCGTTTGTGACCTTTGATCCTCTGCCTGTTGTTGATTCCAAGATTTCGCGGAAATGTACCACGCACGCAGTTTTGTCAGCGTAGCGGTGCGGAGTGCTTAGAAAGATGATACCGGCTAAAGCATTGACGATTGACCCATAACGATGGAACTGTTTGTTGGCGACGCATAAAGCTTGTTTGACTATGATTCCTCCCAGGCTATGGCAGACTACCACCATTGGCTTGCTGTCAGTCTGGAAGAGGAATGTTAGTAAACGTGCTAGTAGTTCAAAAAAAGAACCGTCCTGTGCTCAGCTACTTACAAGATGTGTATCTAAATTCGATCTTGCATCGCTCAAACATTGGAGAAAATCGTAACCTAGCATTAGAATTGACTCCCAAGAGAATCTGATGTCTGGAAATGGCGAATTGTATTCATATGCAAGAATACGCGCCCTAGAACCAGGCTCAGGGAGAGTGGCGAGCCAATTCTGGTTAGCAAATGACCAGTTCTCTGGTGGGATGGTTCCAATGCCAGGAACAAGAACGACGCTGAGCTTGGGTGTAAGTGGTAGAACTGAGCATGATGCCTCTGTAGGGATCTATCTCACTCAATGCACTCC